AAAAGCTCTCAGAGAGTTGGATTGCGTTGTTCGGACAGTGTTTTTAGATATTTTGGGTCGGGAGCGTGTTGCTCTATGCTTCCATCTCTGTGTCGGACCGGAAGCCGTCCGGACATTTTCCATTTTCATTTCGGTGGCGACTGTTTTGGCCTTCAGTCGGATCTGCACGGTGGAAACACCTCGGCCGTCTGCTCTCTGTGTGTTCACCCAATCTTCAAGAAAGTCTTCAAGTTCGGGCCATCTGCTTTTATTACCTCTGAAAGCTTTTTTTGACTTTTTGCATTGAGACAGTTCTTCCCGCTGGCGTCTCCAACGTCTCACCATTGACTCATTGATGCCAAGGGTACGTGCAGCAGCAGCTCTATTTCCTTCTTTTCTGCATTGAATGAAGAATGACTTTCAACACTTAATCAATTATTACATTACATTGCTTTTAGCTGACGCTTTTATCCAAAGCAACTTACAATAAGTACGTTCGACCAACAAAATACAAACTTGAGGAAAACAGAATCATAAAGTACATCAGGTTTCATAGAGCAAAAACATTTCAAGTGCTACTCAACTGGCTTTAGATAAGCCAGTCCTTTATTAGTATAAAAGTGCTTCGTTAATCGTTCTAACGCTCGAAGTGGAGTCGAAAGAGATGAGTTTTCAGTTTGCGCCGGAAGGTGTGCAAGCTATCTGCTGTCCTGATGTCAATGGGGAGCTCATTCCACCATCTTGGAGCCAGGATAGCAAACCCACGTGTTTTTGCTGATGGGAACTTGGGTCCCCCTCGCAGCGAGGGCGCAGCGAGTCGTTTGGCTGATGCAGAGCGTAGTGCACGCGCTGGGGTGTACGGTTTAACCATATCCTGGCTGTAGGAAGGGCCAGATCCATTCGCAGCATGGTACGCAAGTACCAGTGTCTTGAAGTGGATTCTAGCAGTTACCGGAAGCCAGTGAAGGGAGCGGAGGAGCGGAGTGGTGTGGGAGAATTTAGGAAGGTTGAAGACCAGACGAGCCGCTGCATTCTGGATGAGCTGCAGAGGTCGGATGGCACATGCAGGTAGACCAGCCAGGAGGGAGTTGCAGTAGTCTAGGCGTGAGATGACGAGAGCCTGGACCAGAACCTGAGTCGCTTTCTGTGTCAGCTGGGGACGCATCCTCCTGATTATTATCACAATATTGATTGACCAATGTGTGTGTGTGTGTGTGTGTGTGTGTGTGTGTGTGTGTGTGTGTGTGTGTGTGTGTGTGTGTGTGTGTGTGTGTGTGTGTGTGTGTGTGTGTGTGTGTGTGTGTGGTGTGTGTGTGTGTGTGTGTGTGTTGTGTGTGTGTGTGTGTGTGTGTGTGTGTGTGTGTGTGTGTGTGTGTGTGTGTGTGTGTGTGTGTGTGTGTGTGTGTGTGTGTGTGTGTGTGTGTGTGTGTGTGTGTGTGTGTGTGTGTGTGTGTGTGTGTGTGTGTGTGTGTGTGTGTGTGTGTGTGTGGTGTGGTGTGTGTGTGTGTGTGTGTGTGTGTGTGTGTGTGTGTGTGTGTGTGTGTGTGTGTGTGTGTGTGTGTGTGTGTGTGTGTGTGTGTGTGTGTGTGTGGGGTCAGCGAGTACGTCAGATGAAGCGCTGCGACTCTCATTGTTTTGTATCCTGAAAGTGTCTGCTGGGACCTGCAGTAACAACAATGCCCCCCCAGACAATCAAAGGCACGTTTATTTATATAGCACCTTTCAACACAAGACAATTCAAAGTGCTTTACAAAAAATGAAAGACATTAAGAAAATGGCATTTAAAATCAGTCATTAAAAAGAAAAGCCAATAAAATAAACATTAAAAGAAAAAGTACATGGATAAAAGTTACAGTGCAGTCTAAGATGTGAATAGTTCAATTAAAAGCAGCGACAAAAAGAAAAGTCTTCTTGCTGGATTTGAAAGTAGTCAGAGTTGCAGCGGACCTGCAGGTTTCTGGGAGTTTGTTCCAGATGTTTGGAGCATAATAACTGAACGCTGCTTCTCCATGTTTAGTTCTGACTCTGGGGACAGAAAGCTGACCAGTCCCTGAAGACCTGAGAGATCTGGATGGTTCATAATTTAGCAGGAGGTCAGAAATGTATTTTGGGCCTAAACCATTCAGTGCTTTATAAACCAGCAGCAGTATTTAGAAATCTATTCTTTGACACACAGGAAGCCAGTGTAAAGACTTCAGAACAGGAAGTGATGTGATCCACTTTCTTAGTGTTAGTGAGGACTCGAGCAGCGGCGTTCTGAATCAGCTGCAGCTTCCTAATAGATGTTTTAGTGAGACCTGTGAAGACACCATTGCAGTAGTCCAGTCTACTGAAGATAAAAGCATGGACAAGTTTTTCCAAATCCTGCTGTGACATTAGTCTTTTAATCCTAGATATGTTCTTTAGGTGATAGTAGGCTGATTTAGTAACAGTTTTAATGTGACTGTTGAAACTCAGGTCAGAGTCCATGACTACACCTAGATTTCTGGCTCTATCTGTTGTTTTGAACATTGCAGACTGAAGCTCAGCGCTAACTTTTATACGTTCTGCCTTGGCTCCAAAAACCATTACCTCAGTTTAATCTTTGTTTAATTGGAGAAAGTTCTGACACATCCAGTCATTGATTTGTTCAATGCACTTACTCAGTGTTTGAATTGGAGCATAGTCTCCTGGTGAAATTGTTACGTAAATGTGTGTCATCTGCATAGCTATGGTAACTTATTTTGTTGTTCTTCATTATCTGAGCCAGTGGTAGCATGTAGATGTTAAAGAGAAGAGGCCCCAGGATGGAGCCTTGAGGAACCCCACATGTCATATTTGTCAACTCAGATGTGTATTTACCTATAGAAACAAAGTTGTTTCTGTCCTTTAAGTAGGATTCAAACCAATTCAGAACTGTTTCCGAAAGTCCCACCCAGTTTTCCAGTCGGTCTAGTAATATGCTGTGGTCAACAGTGTCAAACGCAGCACTGAGATCTAATAATACTAACACTGAAGTTCTGCCACTGTCTGTGTTTAAGTGGATGTCATTAAAGACCTTTACAAGAGCAGTCTCAGTGCTGTGGTTTGGACGAAAGCCTGACTGGAACACATCGAAACAGTTATTTAAATGCAAGAAATTACTCAAAGAGTGACACACAGACACACACACACACACACACACACACACACACACACACACACACACACACACACACACACACACACACACACACACACACACACAGAGAGAGAGAGATAGATAAGGTAATCGTGTTTCTTGTTAATTGTCTGCTATCGTCTCCTTAATGTGTTTCAATTGGAAGCTTCTGTGGGTTCTGGATTAAAGCCAGAAGGGAAACTGATTTAAAAATCTGTGTAGTGTCTCTACTTTAAAGAGTCCTCTCCTGCTGATGTTCAGGTGTATATCAGTATGTAGTGTATTTACTTTAAAGAGTCCTCTCCTGCTGATGTTCAGGTGTATATCAGTATGTAGTGTCTCTACTTTAAAGAGTCCTCTCCTGCTGATGTTCAGGTGTATATCAGTATGTAGTGTCTCTACTTTAAAGAGTCCTCTCCTGCTGATGTTCAGGTGTATATCAGTATGTAGTGTCTCTACTTTAAAGAGTCCTCTCCTGCTGATGTTCAGGTGTATATCAGTATGTAGTGTCTCTACTTTAAAGAGTCCTCTCCTGCTGATGTGCAGGTGTATATCAGTATGTAGTGTCTCTACTTTAAAGAGTCCTCTCCTGCTGATGTTCAGGTGTATATCAGTATGTAGTGTCTCTACTTTAAAGAGTCCTCTACTGCTGATGTTCAGGTGTATATCAGTATGTAGTGTCTCTACTTTAAAGAGTCCTCTCCTGCTGATGTTCAGGTGTATATCAGTATGTAGTGTCTCTACTTTAAAGAGTCCTCTCCTGCTGATGTTCAGGTGTATATCAGTAGGTAGTGTCTCTACTTTAAAGAGTCCTCTCCTGCTGATGTTCAGGTGTATATCAGCATGTAGTGTCTCTACTTTAAAGAGTCCTCTCCTGCTGATGTTCAGGTGTATATCAGTATGTAGTGTCTCTACTTTAAAGAGACATAGGGCCTCTTTAAAATGATATTTCTGTCCTTTATCCTCTCCTATTCCTTTAGTAAGCTAATTAACGGCATAAACCTTTTCATCTTGTGACGTTATTGTTTTGGCAATTGAACAACGGGATTAATCTGAGGAAATGAAAATAAAGACCGCACACATCTTTAAATGGCTGTCCAATTTAAGATTTAGAAAATGGTCTTCTATTAATATCCTCATGTTTAGCGTCTCTGCTCCGACACGTAGCTTCCTCGTTGTTTTGAAGTGTAAATAAGGTTTAGTACAATAGCACTCAGTTGTGAGGATTAGATTGATTGTTTTGTGTGTTTCTGGTGATGGAAGAGAGGGACATTATGAAGAAGTTGTCCTTAAATGTCTTCATGCTAATGTGTGTTTTCATAATGTGGTGTTTTTCAGAAATGCAGGTGTGAAATGTCTGCAGTTTAATAAATGGCAAACCGTGTCAGTGAGACTCCATCAAACAACACTTCCTTTCATTTGTTCTGAGGAGCGTTTTGTGGTTTTAACTTGTGGCTGAACTCCAGTGGAACTAACGGTCACACGCTTCCAATCACATGGAGATTTATGAGACATAAGCGACCACAAAGCGGCTGTCAAAAATCAAAGTGTGTGTGTGAACAGGAGGAATGATACACGCAGGACAACATTGTTAAATTGTCCAGAGCAGCAGTTATCTAAAGATGCTCTAGTTACGTTGTGAAGCTCTCCTTTTATTGAGGATTGTTTCCATATTTCATTTAGGTTTTTCTATAAAACATCAAATTAAAGCAGCTGTCCTCTAAAAAAAACTTAAAACATTGTACTTTTCTTAATTTAAAATCTATCTATTTTGATGAAATGGACTGATGAGATAAGTTTGACTCAGTATTCCTAGTGGAAGATGTGGAGTAGACAAGCAAGGTGTCTGTCCTCTGAAACTTGTCCCTGTATTCTGGGTCAGGAGCAGTTCGGAGCGTCGTAAGGAGAAGTCTCGCGACGCGGCTCGCTGCCGGAGGAGCAAAGAGACGGAGGTGTTCTACGAGCTGGCCAATCAGCTGCCTCTCCCTCACAGCGTCAGCTCCCACCTGGACAAGGCCTCCATCATGAGGCTGGCCATCAGCTTCCTGAGGACCCACAAGGTGCTGAACACAGGTAGGAACACACACACACACACACAGACACACACACTAACATACACACACATTCACTAACTCACTCAAACACACCACACACACACCACACATTCACACAGACACACACACACACACAGACACACACACTAACATACACACACATTCACTAACTCACTCACTCAAACACACACACACACACACACACACACAGACACACACACTAACATACACACACATTCACTAACTCACTCAAACACACACCACACACTCACTCACATACAGACACACATTCACACACACACACACACACACACACACACACACACACACACACACACTAACATACACACACATTCACTAACTCACTCAAACACACACCACACACTCACTCACTCACTCACATACAGACACACAATCACACACACACACACACACACACACACACACACACACACACACACAAACACCACACTTGCAAACTGATGTCAGGTGCAATTAGGTGTGTGTGTGTGTGTGTGTGTGTTGCTGTGGATGGGTGTCGTGTGTGTGTGTGCTGATGGTGTGTGGTGTGTGTGTGATGTTGTGTGTTGTGTTTGTGTGTTTGTGTGTGCTGTGTGTGGTCGCTGTGTGTGTGTGTGTGTGTGTGGTGTTGTGTGCTGTGATTGTGTGATGTGTGTGTGTCTGTGTGTGTGTGGTGTGTGATGTGTGTGTGTGTGAGTGTGTAGTGTGTGTGTGTGTTTGTGTGTTGTGTGTGTACTTGTGTGGTGTGTGTGTTTGTGTGTGTGTGTGTGTGTGTGTGACTAATGTTCCAGTAAAAGGGGAAACTATTTGTCGGGGTCTTTTCTCCTCACTTGTCCTCCGTCCTCTCGTCTCGTTTAAATTCAGAAACACAGGAAGCTCGACGGAGAGGCAGACCTATTGTTCTGAAATTCCTCCGCCGTCTCCAAATGAGATCAGAGAAAGACTCAATCAACCAACGTCAGCGACGTCAGAAAAAGACCTGATTGTTTCTAACATCATTAAATGTCCCCATGGGTCAAAATCAAGTCACATCCGTCTGCTTTTTGACGGACTTTCATTCGCCCACTTGCTTTAGTCTCTGATTATTATCTTCTAATAAACTGCTGCTCATTGTTTGTCTGGGGAAGCAGTGATGCACAAAACAAAACTTCCCGAAACAACGGCGACCGCCACTTCCTATTTCTTTTGTTTGCCCATAAATCATAAAAACAAATGACTATTTCTTTATTTAGCATATTTTAATACGTTAAGCTCCGACAGGTTTTCAGTTCAAAAGTGTAATGTTGTCCCTCTCCTGTTCTATAGGTTTTAGTGCATGTAAATGGTCTGCAAAGGCTAAAATCCCTAAGTTTAACTCTCAAAATAGTCTCGTAGAAATACCACGTGTGAAGAAAAGAAATAGAAATCTAGAAAGTGTATATATTTAAATATGCACAGCTCCAACCAAGAAACTACTCTATGTTCACTTATCTTGTTGTGCAAATAACTCCTCCGTCACTTTATTTGGCCTCAGGGAACTTTTGGGGTTTAAATAAAAGTTTCGAACGTGTACATTCATCTGAACTCTACATATGTCTTATCATAAAAGTTACATTTGAATTAAAACAAAAGTATTTTGATAAAAGTCTTAAAGGTCCCTATTATACAGTTTGTCATCAATATATCACAGCTCTCAGATATATCCAGAGCCTGTCTCTGATTGGCTGAAACACCAAACAGATCATTGCAGCATTACCCATAATCCCCTCTGTTTCAGCCCTGTTTCCAAAGTGCTGATTCTCTGTGTGTTACTTTAGATGAAAACAAGGAGCCCCTCCCCACGCCCCTCTGAGAGAGATTTGGTTACAAAGAACTCAATGGTGCTCTAGAGGAGATTCAGGTGATAAGGTGTGTGTGTGTGTGGGGGGGGGTTACCTTGGTTGCTGATTGGCTAATGGTTACACAAGACAAAACATCGTTATGACATCATAAAGTGGCCAAAATCTGATCAGCTCATTTTCAGACAGGTTTTTATAGAAATGGATCAAAAAGAGAGAGAATCTTTGTTCCTGAAACTTTCAGAGTCTCTTTCCACAGAGGAGACACATGTTGATGTAGAAGAGAATGAGAGAGGGGACACATGTTGATGTAGAAGAGACATGAAGAAGAGGGGACACATGTTGATGTAGAAGAGACATGAAGAAGAGGGGACACATGTTGATGTAGAAGAGACAATGAAGAAGAGGGGACACATGTTGATGTAGAAGAGACATGAAGAAGAGGGGACACATGTTGATGTAGAAGAGACATGAAGAAGAGGGGGACACATGTTGATGTAGAAGAGACATGAAGAAGAGGGGACACATGTTGATGTAGAAGAGACATGAAGAAGAGGGGACACATGTTGATGTAGAAGAGACATGAAGAAGAGGGGACACATGTTGATGTAGAAGAGAAATGAAGAAGAGGGGACACATGTTGATGTAGAAGAGACATGAAGAAGAGGGGACACATGTTGATGAAGAAGAGACATGAAGAACAGGGGACACATGTTGATGTAGAAGAGACATGAAGAAGAGGGGACACATGTTGATGTAGAAGAGACATGAAGAAGAGGGGACACATGTTGATGTAGAAGAGACATGAAGAACAGGGGACACATGTTGATGTAGAAGAGACATGAAGAAGAGGGGACACATGTTGATGTAGAAGAGACATGAAGAAGAGGGGACACATGTTGATGTAGAAGAGACATGAAGAAGAGGGGACACATGTTGATGTAGAAGAGACATGAGGAAGTGGATTTATAAGAACACGGAGACCCCTCTCTGAACTGTTTTTATAATTTGGGTGATTTTCAAATAGAGCTTTTTTAATTCCTGGAAATGTTTCAGTGTCCATCTCTTCACACGATGAAGACACTTTATTTATCCCCTCATTTTAATCAGCCAATCACACGGCGTTTTATCACAGCTTCACAAAAGTCACATCCCCACAACACATTAAGTGTGAGGAAGAAGAGGGAGGAAGGGGAAGGAGGACTCTTTAAAGTAAGAAGTGTAATCGCCTACACATTTAATGTATATGTTATTCTTTCATAAAAATAGATACAAAATAGGTCTCTTTAAAATAAGGGATCAACATAAACCAGAGATCTTAGAGAGGAAGAGGAGAGAAGGAGTGCATAGGGAGGAGGGTTTAAGGAGATGAGGGAAGGAAGGCAGTGGGTGAGTGAAGAGAAAAGGCTTTAAGGTCATAATTCTGAAAAAGTCAGAAATATGAAATAAAATAGTCAGAATTCACGGGGCGGAGATGCAGCGGCAGATATATGTTATCGGGCCGTTCTGATGGCTCCGGGTTGATGCTGGCTTCCCCCTGCAGCCATAACACCCTGCTGCAGTGGTGCCACACACACACACACACACTCACACACACACACACACACACACACACAGTTTTCCATTTAAACTTACGCATCATTCTTCCAACCATTTTCCTGATGGCTAATCTACAAGATTCATCATATTTAAGCATCATTTCTGTGTGTGTGTGTGTGTGTGTGTGTGTGTGTGTGTGTGTGTGTGTGTGTGTGTGTGTGTGTGTGTGTGTGTGTGTGTGTGTGTGTGTGTGTGTGTGTGTGTGTGTGTGTGTGTGTGTGTGTGTGTGTGTGTGTGTGTGTGTGTGTGTGTGTGTGTGTGTGTGTGTGTGTGTGTGTGTGTGTGTGTGTGTGTGTGTGTGTGTGTGTGTGTGTGTGTGTGTGTTAAGCGCGGGAAGCCATTATGAGTGTTGTTCACGCTGTAATTTGTCGGGGTCGGGGATCAGGAGCGGCCTGAGACGCAGGAAGAAGCTCTGGTTTGTTTTGGCCCCGAGCCAAAGCTTCAAGAAGGAAAACAAGCTTAATTTGTGCACACACACACTGTACAAACACACACACACACACACACACACACACACACACACACACTGTACAAAACACACACACACACACACACACTGTACAAACACACACACACTGTACACACACACACACACACACACACACACACACTGTACAAACACACACACACACACACACACTGTACAAACACACACACTGTACAAACACACACACACTCTACACACACACACACACACACACACACACACACACACACCAGAGAAGACAAACGTCCACACATCCTTTACTCAAGTAGAAGTACAGATACTCGTTTAAAAATACTCTGGTAAAAGTAGAAGTACTGACTAAACTTCTTTACTCAAGTCAAAGTAAAGAGGCTTTGAAATGTACTTCAGTAAAAAGTACCCATAACTAGCAGCTGTTTTAAAGAGTACCTGACCTCCCTTTATATTAATAGAACAATAATGTCATTGTTAGCTAATGAATGTTTCCATGCTGAACAACGGCAACATGACAACGTTTCCATTGGTCCCTCTTCTTTAGAGAAGACCAGGAAATGATGGATACACGGATCGTGTTCAAATCAATAGGCACGCAATGACTCTAAAGAATAATGATCACGCATCAAACACACATTCAGACTAAGGAACCAGCTGTTTGGAAAATGAGAGAAGTAGAAAGTACAGGTATTTGGGTTCAACATGTAAGAAGTAGAAAGTACAGGTATTTGAGTTCAACATGTGAGAAGTAGAAAGTACAGGTATTTGAGTTCAACATGTAAGAAGTAGAAAGTACAGGTATTTGAGTTCAACATGTGAGAAGTAGAAAGTACAGGTATTTGAGTTCAACATGTGAGAAGTAGAAAGTACAGGTATTTGGGTTCAACATGAGAGAAGTAGAAAGTACAGGTATTTGAGTTCAACATGTAAGAAGTAGAAAGTACAGGTATTTGAGTTCAACATGTAAGAAGTAGAAAGTACAGGTATTTGAGTTCAACATGTGAGAAGTAGAAAGTACAGGTATTTGAGTTCAACATGTAAGAAGTAGAAAGTACAGGTATTTGTGTTCAACATGTGAGAAGTAGAGAGTACAGGTATTTGAGTTCAACATGTGAGAAGTAGAAAGTACAGGTATTTGAGTTCAACATGTAAGAAGTAGAGAGTACAGGTATTTGAGTTCAACATGTGAGAAGTAGAAAGTACAGGTATTTGAGTTCAACATGTAAGAAGTAGAGAGTACAGGTATTTGAGTTCAACATGTGAGAAGTAGAAAGTACAGGTATTTGAGTTCAACATGTGAAAAGTAGAAAGTACAGGTATTTGTGTTCAACATGTAAGAAGTAGAAAGTACAGGTATTTGAGTTCAACATGTAAGAAGTAGAAAGTACAGGTATTTGGGTTCAACATGTAAGAAGTAGAAAGTACAGGTATTTGAGTTCAACATGTAAGAAGTAGAAAGTACAGGTATTTGAGTTCAACATGTAAGAAGTAGAAAGTACAGGTATTTGGGTTAACATGTAAGAAGTAGAAAGTACAGGTATTTGAGTTCAACATGTAAGAAGTAGAAAGTACAGGTATTTGGGTTCAACATGTAAGAAGTAGAAAGTACAGGTATTTGAGTTCAACATGTAAGAAGTAGAAAGTACAGGTATTTGAGTTCAACATGTAAGAAGTAGAAAGTACAGGTATTTGGGTTCAACATGTAAGAAGTAGAAAGTACAGGTATTTGGGTTCAACATGTAAGAAGTAGAAAGTACAGGTATTTGAGTTCAACATGTAAGAAGTAGAAAGTACAGGTATTTGAGTTCAACATGTAAGAAGTAGAAAGTACAGGTATTTGGGTTCAACATGTAAGAAGTAGAAAGTACAGGTATTTGAGTTCAACATGTAAGAAGTAGAAAGTACAGGTATTTGAGTTCAACATGTAAGAAATAGAAAGTACAGGTATTTGGGTTCAACATGTAAGAAGTAGAAAGTACAGGTATTTGAGTTCAACATGTGAAAAGTAGAAAGTACAGGTATTTGTGTTCAATATGTAAGAAGTAGAAAGTACAGGTATTTGAGTTCAACATGTAAGAAGTAGAAAGTACAGGTATTTGGGTTCACATGTAAGAAGTAGAAAGTACAGGTATTTGAGTTCAACATGTGAGAAGTAGAAAGTACAGGTATTTGAGTTCAACATGTAAGAAGTAGAAAGTACAGGTATTTGAGTTCAACATGTGAGAAGTAGAAAGTACAGGTATTTGAGTTCAACATGTAAGAAGTAGAAAGTACAGGTATTTGTGTTCAACATGTGAGAAGTAGAAAGTACAGGTATTTGAGTTCAACATGTAAGAAGTAGAAAGTACAGGTATTTGAGTTCAACATGTAAGAAGTAGAAAGTACAGGTATTTGAGTTCAACATGTGAGAAGTAGAAAGTACAGGTATTTGTGTTCAACATGTAAGAAGTAGAAAGTACAGGTATTTGGGTTCAACATGTAAGAAGTAGAAAGTACAGGTATTTGAGTTCAACATGTAAGAAGTAGAAAGTACAGGTATTTGAGTTCAACATGTAAGAAGTAGAAAGTACAGGTATTTGAGTTCAACATGTAAGAAGTAGAAAGTACAGGTATTTGAGTTCAACATGTAAGAAGTAGAAAGTACAAGTATTTGGGTTCAACATGTAAGAAGTAGAAAGTACAGGTATTTGAGTTCAACATGTGAGAAGTAGAAAGTACAGGTATTTGAGTTCAACATGTAAGAAGTAGAAAGTACAGGTATTTGGGTTCAACATGTGAGAAGTAGAAAGTACAGGTATTTGAGTTCAACATGTGAGAAGTAGAAAGTACAGGTATTTGGGTTCAACATGTAAGAAGTAGAAAGTATAGGTATTTGAGTTCAACATGTAAGAAGTAGAAAGTACAGGTATTTGTGTTCAACATGTGAGAAGTAGAAAGTACAGGTATTTGAGTTAACATGTGAGAAGTAGAAAGTACAGGTATTTGAGTTAACATGTGAGAAGTAGAAAGTACAGGTATTTGAGTTCAACATGTAAGAAGTAGAAAGTACAGGTATTTGTGTTCAACATGTAAGAAGTAGAAAGTACAGGTATTTGTGTTCAACATGTAAGAAGTAGAAAGTACAGGTATTTGTGTTCAACATGTAAGAAGTAGAAAGTACAGGTATTTGTGTTCAACATGTGAGAAGTAGAAAGTACAGGTATTTGTGTTCAACATGTAAGAAGTAGAAAGTACAGGTATTTGAGTTTAACATGTGAGAAGTAGAAAGTACAGGTATTTGAGTTCAACATGTGAGAAGTAGAAAGTACAGGTATTTGAGTTCAACATGTAAGAAGTAGAAAGTACAGGTATTTGGGTTCAACATGTAAGAAGTAGAAAGTACAGGTATTTGAGTTCAACATGTAAGAAGTAGAAAGTACAGGTATTTGAGTTTAACATGTAAGAAGTAGAAAGTACAGGTATTTGAGTTCAACATGTAAGAAGTAGAAAGTACAGGTATTTGAGTTCAACATGTAAGAAGTAGAAAGTACAGGTATTTGAGTTCAACATGTGAGAAGTAGAAAGTACTGGTATTTGTGTTCAACATGTAAGAAGTAGAAAGTACAGGTATTTGAGTTCAACATGTAAGAAGTAGAAAGTACAGGTATTTGAGTTCAACATGTAAGAAGTAGAAAGTACAGGTATTTGAGTTCAACATGTAAGAAGTAGAAAGTACAGGTATTTGTGTTCAACATGTAAGAAGTAGAAAGTACAGGTATTTGAGTTCAACATGTAAGAAGTAGAAAGTACAGGTATTTGTGTTCAACATGTGAGAAGTAGAAAGTACAGGTATTTGAGTTCAACATGTGAGAAGTAGAAAGTACAGGTATTTGAGTTCAACATGTGAGAAGTAGAAAGTACAGGTATTTGAGTTCAACATGTAAGAAGTAGAAAGTACAGGTATTTGTGTTCAACATGTAAGAAGTAGAAAGTACAGGTATTTGAGTTCAACATGTAAGAAGTAGAAAGTACAGGTATTTGAGTTCAACATGTAAGAAGTAGAAAGTACAGGTATTTGAGTTCAACATGTGAGAAGTAGAAAGTACAGGTATTTGAGTTCAACATGTAAGAAGTAGAAAGTACAGGTATTTGAGTTCAACATGTGAGAAGTAGAAAGTACAGGTATTTGAGTTCAACATGTAAGAAGTAGAAAGTACAGGTATTTGAGTTCAACATGTAAGAAGTAGAAAGTACAGGTATTTGGGTTCAACATGTAAGAAGTAGAAAGTACAGGTATTTGGGTTCAACATGTGAGAAGTAGAAAGTACAGGTATTTTGGTTCAACATGTAAGAAGTAGAAAGTACAGGTATTTGGGTTCAACATGTAAGAAGTAGAAAGTACAGGTATTTGAGTTCAACATGTAAGAAGTAGAAAGTACAGGTATTTGTGTTCAACATGTAAGAAGTAGAAAGTACAGGTATTTGTGTTTAACATGTGAGAAGTAGAAAGTAAAAAGTAGTGGAGTAAAGTACTGATACCAGAATCATGTACAGTACAGTAACAAAGTATTTGTACTCCAATACTTCCCACCTCTGAAACACACACACACACACACACATCTATAATCCGCCTTGTTGTGTGTGTGCAGGCTGCAGCAGCGTTAGAGACAGCGAGGAGGACGGACAGATGGACAGTTTGTACCTGAAGTCTCTGGAGGGCTTCATCACCGTGGTAACGTCCGACGGGGACATGATATTCCTGTCGGAGAACATCAACAAGTTCATGGGGCTCACGCAGGTACAAATATTAAATTACAGCGGGATGAGAGGAGACTTTCCAATCAACTTGAGTCAGTTCACTTTAAACGTCTGACAGTCTGTGGGGTTTGTTTTTTAGCATGTCATTAAATTAAACATATGTTTCAATATATTTGAGTTTGCAAATGGATGTTTTTTTATATAGTTTTCCAGCCGTTTAATCGAATTCATCAAGACCTTATGTTTTCTTCCTTTACCAGTGAGGCAGGAAAGAAGAACAAATTATTCTTAAAAAAATCCGAAATTCTGATAAAAGTCAGAAATATTAAAGATATTTCTTTTTTCAGAAATAAGGACAAAAGTCAAAACTCTGAAAAAAGTCTGAAATTTAGAAATTATGAAAAAGTAAAGAAAGTTAGAAAAATTAAGAAATTCTGAAATTCGTAGAAAAGTCTTACAAATCATACAAATCTGAAATATGATGAATAAGTTTCACTTTTTTCAGAAATACGAGAAAAAAAATCAGAATTCCGGAAAAAGTCAGAAAGAAAGTCAGAAATATTAAAGAAAAAGTCAGGATTCTGAGAAAAAAGTTGGAATTTTGAGAAAAAAATCTGAAATTCCTAGAAACGTCTTAAAGGTCAGAATTCAGAAAAACTCAATCAAATCTGAAAAAAAGTCAGAAAAGTTCAAATATGGCAAAAAAGTCAGAATTATGAAAAAAGTCAGAATTCCAAGAAGTCATAAAAGTTAGAATATTGAAAAAATAAATCTAAATTCAGAAAAAAAGTCCAGATTCTGAGAAAAAAAATATTCTTACATTTTCTTATTTCACAAATATATAGTTTTGATTCGTCAGGTGGACCTCACTGAAACAGCAGAAACAGGTCAAAAAGTCAGAACATTAGAGTTATGAAAAAAGTCATTAAAAAGTTGGAATTGTGAGAGAAAAAAAAGTCATACTTTGTCTTATTTTTTCATATTTCTCAATTTCTTTTCAGGTGGACATCACTGGTCAGAGCATCTTTGACTTCACCCACCCATGTGACCACGAGGAGATCAGAGAGAATCTCAACCTGAAGACGTCCGGTCAGCACTCTATATATTCTTCTATACGCTCAAGTTTGAAAATTGATGTTTTCCTGCCCTTTACTTTAAGACCTACATAAGTACCCTGTCCAGTCTTCTTTCTTCAGTTAGTCAGAAACAGATTCCATAGAGCATTTAAAGAAACTAAATGGTATTTAAACGGTCATTTTGTGCAGGAAGTTTCCCTTTAACCTGTTAAGCCCCATAGCCCCACTCCTCAATGGTAACGTGTAGGTGGATTTAGGAACGTCCCCTCGATTCTATTGGCTCTAACGGTTAAAAAGAGGTGTCAATCATCAAGATCGACCGATGGGTTCCAGAGACATGGAAAATCCACCCAAATGACCCCAGAAGTGGGTTCTTTTGCTAAACCTCTCTAAAAAGGTCAAATTTCACTTGTTTTGCATCAATCTTGAAACAGGGTACTTATTATATGTTATAGTGTGGATTCCTAAAGTATTTAGTCTACTAACCCATCATCCAAGGGTGGTTTCCACTATAAGTAATGTGTTTTTTTTTGGACGGACACTATTTTAAATTGTTTTACCATGTTCAATCTGAATTTACTTTAAAATAAAAACATCTATATTGATTCTGACTATTCTACATCCAACTCACAGGTTTATCATTGCTTTGAGAAAAAAGATGATTCATTTTCCCCTTTTAGAAGATATGGTCATTTGTTCTGGGAATGTCATTTTCGAGCCTGAGGCCTGAAAAACAGGCCCGGGGCTTAACAGGTTAGTGTTACCTGTTGGTGGCTCTTCAGGATACTTCCTCTGGGACCATGCATATTCTTCTATACACTCACATTTGAAAATGGATGTTTTAATTTAGTTTCCCGGCCATTTACTCTAATCCATCAAGACCGTTCCCAGTTTTCTTTCTTCAGTGAGGCAGAAACAGATTTCATAGAGCATTTAAAGACACTACATGGTATTTAAACGGTCATTTTGTGCTGGAAGTTTCCCTTTAACTCTCCTAACAGTGTTGACCTGTTGGTGGCTCTTCAGGATACCTCCTAACAGTGTTGACCTGTTGGTGGCTCTTCAGGATACCTCCTAACAGTGTTGACCTGTTGGTGGCTCTTCAGGATACCTCCTAACAGTGTTGACCTGTTGGTGGCTCTTCAGGATACCTACTAACAGTGTTGACCTGTTGGTGGCTCTTCAGGATACCTCCTAACAGTGTTGACCTGTTGGTGGCTCTTCAGGATACCTCCTAACAGTGTTGACCTGTTGGTGGCTCTTCAGGATACCTCCTAACAGTGTTGACCTGTTGGTGGCTCTTCAGGATACCTCCTAACAGTGTTGACCTGTTGGTGGCTCTTCAGGATACCTCCTAACAGTGTTGACCTGTTGGTGGCTCTTCAGGATACCTCCTAACAGTGTTGACCTGTTGGTGGCTCTTCAGGATACCTCCTAACAGTGTTGACCTGCTGGTGGCTCTTCAGGATACCTCCTAACAGTGCTGACCTGTTGGTGGCTCTTCAGGATACCTCCCAACAGTGTTGACCTGTTGGTGGCTCTTCACGATACCTACTAACAGTGTTGACCTGTTGGTGGCTCTTCAGGATACCTACTAACAGTGTTGACCTGTTGGTGGCTCTTCAGGATACCTACTAACAGTGTTGACCTGTTGGTGGCTCTTCAGGATACCTCCTAACAGTGTTGACCTGTTGGTGGCTCTTCAGGATACCTCCTAACAGTGTTGACCTGTTGGTGGCTCTTCAGGATACCTCCTAACAGTGTTGACCTGTTGGTGCTCTTCAGGATACCTCCTAACAGTGTTGACCTGTTGGTGGCTCTTCAGGATACCTCCTAACAGTGTTGACCTGTTGGTGGCTCTTCAGGATACCTCCCTAACAGTGTTGACCTGTTGGTGGCTCTTCAGGATACCTCCTAACAGTGTTGACCTGTTGGTGGCTCTTCAGGATACCTCCTAACAGTGTTGACCTGTTGGGTGGCTCTTCAGGATACCTACTAACAGTGTTGACCTGTTGGTGGCTCTTCAGGATACCTCCTAACAGTGTTGACCTGTTTGGTGGCTCTTCAGGATACCTCCTAACAGTGTTGACCTGTTGGTGGCTCTTCAGGATACCTACTAACAGTGTTGACCTGTTGGTGGCTCTTCAGGACCTGTTGGTGGCTCTTCAGGATACCTCCCAACAGTGTTGACCTGTTGGTGGCTCTTCAGGATACCTCCTAACAGTGTTGACCTGTTGGTGCTCTTCAGGATACCTCCTAACAGTGTTGACCTGTTGGTGCTCTTCAGGATACCTACTAACAGTGTTGACCTGTTGGTGGCTCTTCAGGATACCTCCTAACAGTGTTGACCTGTTGGTGGCTCTTCAGGATACCTCCTAACAGTGTTGACCTGTTGGTGGCTCTTCAGGATACCTCCTAACAGTGTTGACCTGTTGGTGGCTCTTCAGGATACCTCCTAACAGTGTTGACCTGTTGGTGGCTCTTCAGGATACCTCCTAACAGTGTTGACCTGGTTGGTGGCTCTTCAGGATACCTCCTAACAGTGTTGACCTGTTGGTGGCTCTTCAGGATACCTCCTAACAGTGTTGACCTGTTGGTGGCTCTTCAGGATACCTCCTAAACAGTGTTGACCTGTTGGTGGCTCTTCAGGATACCTCCTAACAGTGTTGACCTGTTGGTGGCTCTTCAGGATACCTCCTAACAGTGTTGACCTGTTGGTGGCTCTTCAGGATACCTCCTAACAGTGTTGACCTGTTGGTGGCTCTTCAGGATACCTCCTCTGGGGACCATGCATATCCACAGAAAGCTGTAGAAAAACCCTGTCCGCACTTGTCTCATCTTATTATTGACTTATCCAAGTATTCGATGGACCCCGTGATGTCCGCAGAGCCTCCAGGGAGTTGCATGTAATCTTTGGATAGTAAATATCTATAATGTCTGGCATATTCCAGCACTCATGTACAGCGTAAGGGCCCCTATATTATCTTTCAGAGACCCCCCCCCCCCCCCCCCCCACCACCAGCAATCAGCACCCTTTCTTGTGTTTGTGGAAAGAAATGAACCCAAGGAAAATAAAACATGCATGTCTGGTGTTACAATCTGTCTCGTGAACAAGTGTCCAGAACAAACACGGGAACAGAGGGTCAGAGACCGTATAGAGGGGAGTCTAAAGACTGTGTGTGTGTGTGTGTGTGTGTGTGTGTGTGTGTGTGTGTGTGTGTGTGTGTGTGTGTGTGTGTGTGTGTGTGTGTGTGTGTGTGTGTGTGTGTGTGTGTGTGTGTGTGTGTGTGTGTGTGTGTGTGTGTGTGTGTGTGTGTGTGTGTGTGTGTGTGTGTGTGTGTGTGTGTGTGTGTGTGTGTGTGTGTGTGTGTGTGTGTGTGTGTGTGTGTGTGTGTGTGTGTGTGTGTGTGTGTGTGTGTGTGTGTGTGTGTGTGTGTGTGTGTGTGTGTGTGTGTGTGTGTGTGTGTGTGTGTGTGTGTGTGTGTGTGTGTGTGTGTGTGTGTGTGTGTGTGTGTGTGTGTGTGTGTGTGTGTGTGTGTGTGTTCGATCGATCGATCGTGTCCAGTCACATGAAGGGCAACATTGATAAGCGAAGAGGCTTATCACCATTTATAGTTCAACAGACATGTAATATTCCTAATGCTTCTCCCCAGACGTTATGATGACCTCTCGTGGAAAGGGTTGTTATTTATCTCCTTCTCCCTGTTTGTGTTTCAGGAAGTGGTTTCCGTAAGAAAGGCAAAGATCTGAACACGGAGAGAGACTTCTTCATGAGGATGAAATGCACCGTGACCAACAGAGGACGAACCGTCAACCTCAAGTCAGCCAGCTGGAAGGTGAGAGAGGGAGGCAGCTGCAACACATGCAACCCATGCAACATCTGGAACACATGCAACACCTGCAACATCTGGAACACATGCAACCCATGCAACACATGCAACATATGCAACACATGCAACATCTGGAACATCTGCAACACATGCAACACATGCGACCCATGCAACACCTGGAACACATGCAACACCTGGAACACATGCAACATCTGGAACACATGCAACATCTGGAACACCTGCAACATCTGGAACATCTGCAACACCTGGAACACATGCAACATCTGGAACACATGCAACCCATGCAACACATGCAACATCTGGAACACATGCAACACATGCAACACATGCAACATCTGGAACACATGCAACATCTGGAACACATGCAACCCATGCAACACATGCAACACATGCAACACATGCAACACATGCAACACATGCAACATCTGGAACACATGCAACACATGCAACATCTGGAACACATGCAACATCTGGAACACATGCAACATCTGGAACACATGCAACACCTGGAACACATGCAACACATGGAACACATGCAACATCTGGAACACATGCAACACATGCAACACATGCAACATCTGGAACACATGCAACATCTGGAACACATGCAACATCTGGAACACATGCAACATCTGGAACACATGCAACACCTGGAACACATGCAACATCTGGAACACATGCAACATCTGGAACACCTGCAACATCTGGAACATCTGCAACACCTGGAACACATGCAACATCTGGAACACATGCAACCCATGCAACACATGCAACATCTGGAACACATGCAACACATGCAACACATGCAACATCTGGAACACATGCAACATCTGGAACACATGCAACCCATGCAACACATGCAACACATGCAACACATGCAACATCTGGAACACATGCAACATCTGGAACACATGCAACACATGCAACATCTGGAACACATGCAACATCTGGAACACATGCAACATCTGGAACACATGCAACACCTGGAACACATGCAACACATGGAACACATGCAACATCTGGAACACATGCAACACATGCAACACATGCAACACATGCAACATCTGGAACACATGCAACACATGGAACATCTGGAACACATGCAACATCTGGAACACATGCAACACATGGAACATCTGGAACACATGCAACACATGCAACATCTGGAACACATGCAACACATGGAACACATGCAACACATGCAACACATGCAACATCTGGAACACATGCAACACATGGAACACATGCAACATCTGGAACACATGCAACACATGGAACACCTGGAACACATGCAACATCTGGAACACATGCAACACATGCAACCCATGCAACACATGCAACATCTGGAACACATGCAACACATGCAACACATGGAACATCTGGAACACATGCAACACATGCAACATCTGGAACACATGCAACACATGGAACACATGCAACATCTGGAACACATGCAACACATGGAACACCTGGAACACATGCAACATCTGGAACACATGCAACACATGCAACCCATGCAACACATGTAACATCTGGAACACATGCAACATCTGGAACACATGCAACATCTGGAACACATGCAACATCTGGAACACATGCAACACATGCAACATCTGGAACACATGCAACACATGGAACACATGGAACACATGCAACCCATGCAACACCTGGAACACCTGGAACACATGCAACACCTGGAACACATGCAACATCTGGAACACCTGCAACACCTGGAACACATGCAACACCTGGAACACATGCAACACATGCAACCCATGCAACACCTGCAACACCTGGAACACATGCAACACCTGGAACACATGCAACATCTGGAACACCTGCAACACCTGGAACACATGCAACACCTGGAACACATGCAACACCTGCAACATCTGCAACACATGCAACACATGCAACACCTGCAACATCTGGAACACATGCAACACCTGGAACACATGCAACATCTGGAACACATGCAACACCTGGAACACATGCAACACCTGCAACATCTGGAACACATGCAACATCTGCAACACATGCAACATCTGGAACACATGCAACCGATGCAACACATGGAACACATGCAACATCTGGAACACATGCAACCGATGCAACACCTGGAACACATGCAACATCTGGAACACATGCAACACCTGGAACACATGCAACACCTGGAACACATGCAACCGATGCAACACCTGGAACACATGCAACATCTGGAACACATGCAACACCTGGAACACATGCAACACATGGAACACATGCAACATCTGGAACACATGCAACACATGCAACACATGCGACCCATGCAACACCTGGAACACATGCAACACCTGGAACACATGCAACATCTGGAACACATGCAACATCTGGAACACCTGCAACATCTGGAACATCTGCAACACCTGGAACACATGCAACATCTGGAACACATGCAACCCATGCAACACATGCAACATCTGGAACACATGCAACACATGCAACACATGCAACATCTGGAACACATGCAACATCTGGAACACATGCAACCCATGCAACACATGCAACACATGCAACACATGCAACACATGCAACACATGCAACATCTGGAACACATGCAACACATGCAACATCTGGAACACATGCAACATCTGGAACACATGCAACATCTGGAACACATGCAACACCTGGAACACATGCAACACATGGAACACATGCAACATCTGGAACACATGCAACACATGCAACACATGCAACACATGCAACATCTGGAACACATGCAACATCTGGAACACATGCAACATCTGGAACACATGCAACATCTGGAACACATGCAACACCTGGAACACATGCAACATCTGGAACACATGCAACATCTGGAACACCTGCAACATCTGGAACATCTGCAACACCTGGAACACATGCAACATCTGGAACACATGCAACCCATGCAACACATGCAACATCTGGAACACATGCAACACATGCAACATCTGGAACACATGCAACATCTGGAACACATGCAACCCATGCAACACATGCAACACATGCAACACATGCAACATCTGGAACACATGCAACATCTGGAACACATGCAACACATGCAACATCTGGAACACATGCAACATCTGGAACACATGCAACATCTGGAACACATGCAACACCTGGAACACATGCAACACATGGAACACATGCAACATCTGGAACACATGCAACACATGCAACACATGCAACACATGCAACATCTGGAACACATGCAACACATGGAACATCTGGAACACATGCAACATCTGGAACACATGCAACACATGGAACATCTGGAACACATGCAACACATGCAACATCTGGAACACATGCAACACATGGAACACATGCAACACATGCAACACATGCAACATCTGGAACACATGCAACACATGGAACACATGCAACATCTGGAACACATGCAACACATGGAACACCTGGAACACATGCAACATCTGGAACACATGCAACACATGCAACCCATGCAACACATGCAACATCTGGAACACATGCAACACATGCAACACATGGAACATCTGGAACACATGCAACACATGCAACATCTGGAACACATGCAACACATGGAACACATGCAACATCTGGAACACATGCAACACATGGAACACCTGGAACACATGCAACATCTGGAACACATGCAACACATGCAACCCATGCAACACATGTAACATCTGGAACACATGCAACATCTGGAACACATGCAACATCTGGAACACATGCAACATCTGGAACACATGCAACACATGCAACATCTGGAACACATGCAACACATGGAACACATGGAACACATGCAACCCATGCAACACCTGGAACACCTGGAACACATGCAACACCTGGAACACATGCAACATCTGGAACACCTGCAACACCTGGAACACATGCAACACCTGGAACACATGCAACACATGCAACCCATGCAACACCTGCAACACCTGGAACACATGCAACACCTGGAACACATGCAACATCTGGAACACCTGCAACACCTGGAACACATGCAACACCTGGAACACATGCAACACCTGCAACATCTGCAACACATGCAACACATGCAACACCTGCAACATCTGGAACACATGCAACACCTGGAACACATGCAACATCTGGAACACATGCAACACCTGGAACACATGCAACACCTGCAACATCTGGAACACATGCAACATCTGCAACACATGCAACATCTGGAACACATGCAACCGATGCAACACATGGAACACATGCAACATCTGGAACACATGCAACCGATGCAACACCTGGAACACATGCAACATCTGGAACACATGCAACACCTGGAACACATGCAACACCTGGAACACATGCAACCGATGCAACACCTGGAACACATGCAACATCTGGAACACATGCAACACCTGGAACACATGCAACACATGGAACACATGCAACATCTGGAACACATGCAACACCTGGAACACATGCAACCGATGCAACACCTGGAACACATGCAACATCTGGAACACATGCAACACCTGGAACACATGCAACATCTGGAACACATGCAACATCTGGAACACATGCAACACCTGGAACACATGCAACCGATGCAACACATGCAACACATGCAACACCTGGAACACATGGAACACATGGAACACATGCAACACATGGAACACATGCAACATCTGGAACACATGCAACCGATGCAACACATGCAACACATGCAACACCTGGAACACATGCAACCGATGCAACACATGCAACACCTGGAACACATGCAACACCTGGAACACATGCAACATCTGGAACACATGCAACCGATGCAACACATGCAACACATGCAACACCTGGAACACATGCAACACATGGAACACATGCAACATCTGGAACACATGCAACCGATGCAACACATGCAACACATGCAACACCTGGAACACATGCAACCGATGCAACACATGCAACACCTGGAACACATGCAACATCTGGAACACATGCAACACCTGGAACACATGCAACCGATGCAACACATGCAACACATGGAACACATGCAACACATGCAACATCTGGAACACATGCAACACATACAACATCTGGAACACATGCAACACATGCAACATCTGGAACACATGCAACACATGCAACATCTGGAACACATGCAACATCTGGAACACATGCAACATCTGGAACACATGCAACCGATGCAACACATGCAACCGATGCAACACCTGGAACACATGCAACACCTGGAACACATGCAACATCTGGAACACATGCAACATCTGGAACACATGCAACACCTGGAACATATGCAACACCTGGAACACATGCAACACCTGGAACACATGCAACATCTGGAACACATGCAACCTGCGTCTCTCACCTGTGTCTCTCACCTGTGTCTCTCACCTGTGTCTCTCACCTGTGTCTCTCACCTGTGTCTCTCACCTGTCTCTCTCACCTGTGTATCTCACCTGTGTCTCTCACCTGTGTCTCTCACCTGTGTCTCTCACCTGTGTATCTCACCTGTGTCTCTCACCTGTGTCTCTCACCTGTGTCTCTCACCTGTGTCTCTCACCTGTCCTGTAACCTCCCCCTGTGCCCCTCTGCAGGTGCTTCACTGCACGGGTCACCTGAAGATCTACACCAGCGTTCCTCCTCGTGTTCTGTGTGGCTTCGCTGAGCCCCCGCTCACCTGTGCTGTCCTGATGTGTGAACCCATCGCTCACCCCTCCAACATCGACACGCCGCTGGACAGCAAGACCTTCCTGAGCCGACACAGCATGGACATGAAGTTCACCTACTGCGACGACAGGTGAGAACACACACACACACACACACACACACACACACACACACACACAGAGGTTTACCTGAGACTCAGCATGGACATGATTTGGTTGTAGTTTTCTTCCATGTAATTATCCGTCAAAATCAATATATTAATATATATAAGCAACTTTCCACACTCTCCATTCAATACATACATAGTACTTTGTTTTATTAAATCCTCACATTTTAGAGCCTTAAACTCAAAATAAACCCCCAAGACTTGAACAGAGAGAGAAATAAAGTACTAAAACCCCATTATGCTTTTCCAACAAGCTGCATCTCCACGTTGCCAGTTAAAACACAGATCCTTAAAGCTCAGCGCACACACACACACACACACACTGATTGCTGTGTGTTGACTGAGGCAGTTTGCCTTGGCACGGCCAGGATATGTAAGCCAGGCATGAAATATTAATACTTTAATAAGAAGCCGTCACAACATTGTGGGATTCGCCGAGTGTTCAGACAAGCCTGAAACACATTCCTGGGTTTGAAACATTTCACCTACTAACAACACATCATTCACAAGAGAGATGAACCACAGCTTCTTCACACCAGGGAAAGATTACTGAACAGGGCCTTAAGGGCATGCTACTTATCGGCCTTAAAATGACACGAACCAGGCAGTCCAAATGACCACAAAACACTACAAAGAGACCCAAAATGACCTTAAAGAGACCCAAAATGACTTTAAAGAGACCCAAAATGACCTTAAAGAGACCCAAAATGACCATAAAGAGACCCAAAATGACCTTAAAGAGACCCAAAATGACCTTAAAGAGACCCAAAATGACCATAGAAAGACCCAAAATGACCTTAAAGAGACCCAAAATGACTTTAAAGAGACCCAAAATGACCTTAAAGAGACCCAAAATGACCATAAAGAGACCCAAAATGACCTTAAAGAGACCCAAAATGACCTTAAAGAGACCCAAAATGACCTTAAAGAGACCCAAAATGACCATAGAAAGACCCAAAATGACCATAGAAAGACCCAAAATGACCTTAAAGAGACCCAAAATGACCTTAAAGAGACCCAAAATGACCATAGAAAGACCCAAAATGACCTTAAAGAGACCCAAAATGACCATAAAGAGACCCAAAATGACCTTAAAGAGACCCAAAATGACCTTAAAGAGACCCAAAATGACCATAGAAAGACCCAAAATGACCTTAAAGAGACCCAAAATGACCTTAAAGAGACCCAAAATGACCATAGAAAGACCCAAAATGACCTTAAAGAGACCCAAAATGACCATAGAAAGACCCAAAATGACCTTAAAGAGACCCAAAATGACCTTAAAGAGACCCAAAATGACCATAGAAAGACCCAAAATGACCATAAAGAGACCCAAAATGACCATAGAAAGACCCAAAATGACCATAGAAAGACCCAAAATGACCATAAAGAGACCCAAAATGACCTTAAAGAGACCCAAAATGACCATAAAGAGACCCAAAATGACCTTAAAGAGACCCAAAATGACCTTAAAGAGACCCAAAATGACCATAGAAAGACCCAAAATGACCTTAAAGAGACCCAAAATGACCTTAAAGAGACCCAAAATGACCATAGAAAGACCCAAAATGACCATAAATAGACCCAAAATGACCATAGAAAGACCCAAAATGACCTTAAAGAGACCCCAAATGACCTTAAAGAGACCCAAAATGACCTTAAAGAGACCCAAAATGACCTTAAAGAGACCCAAAATGACCATAGAAAGACCCAAAATGACCTTAAAGAGACCCAAAATGACCTTAAAGAGACCCAAAATGACCATAGAAAGACCCAAAATGACCATAAAGAGACCCAAAATGACCATAGAAAGACCCAAAATTACCTTAAAGAGACCCAAAATTACCTTAAAGAGACCCAAAATTACCACTAAAACACCTAAAAATGTCCTAAAAAGTTACAGAGACCACAAAGTGACTCGGAATGACGTAAAGGGCAAAACAACCACATAGAGACACAATGACTAGAAAAAAGACTTCATTTTGTTACAAAGAAATACTAAATGACTGCAAAGAGAAAGAACATGACTACAAAGTTACAAAAAGAAAAGAAAGCAACTCAAAGTATTACAATGACACTCAAAATCACTATATAAAGACTCAAAGTGAACATAGAGACAGAACATGAACATAAAGAGACTCAAAATGACAACAAAGGGACGCAAACGTATTCAAAAAGATAACAAATAATTACAGAGAGGATAAAAACAACATATAAAAATGATTACAGAGACAAAAAAGGTGCAAAAATAGTCAAAACGACAACTACATTTAACAACAAAACTACTACACACACACACACACATACACACACACACACACACACACACACACACACACACTGATTGGAGTTACACAAGCACATGCTCGCAGACCTGTAATCTTATCGAATTGCTCATGCAGGACAAAAGTTTCTTTAGAGGAGTGTAGATGTGTGTGTGTGTGTGCGTCTGTGTGTGTGTGTGTGTGTGTGTGTGTGTGTATGTATGTGTGTGTGTGTACTCCTGCACATTGCGCTCTGTAAACAAGGACCCCATTTTGTTGTTTTCCTCCTTATTGATACGACTCGATGGCTGCCCAAATCTTCTGACCAATTACGCAAGTGAGTTTTAATTGTGGGCGGATCAGCGGGGAATAAGACTCATTAAAGACGAGAGCGAGGGTTTCCTCATGTTGGCAGGGCAGCGGCTCGAGAAAGGGAACGAGGAGAGGAAACAAGGAGAGGAAGGAAGGAGGGTAAAACGGGAACTGAGAAAGTTATGTGCACCCCTGTCTATAATAGTTCATTATCCAACAAAAAAACGAGCATTTTAAGATGCCCTATTCTGCTTTTTGGGGGGATTTCCTCTCTTGTAGTGTGTTCTATATGTTTTAGTGCATGTAAATGGTCTGCAGAGGCTAAAATCCAAAGGTTTGGGAACACGATGACATCACTACGGAAGACTGGCGCTGCTATTGGCTGACACATGTACGTGATAGGCTAAGGGGGCGGGACAGCTCTAAGCGGTTGACCAATCATTCAACAGAGCCCGTTTAAAGGATTCAATGGGCCATAAAGACAGAGTTACAAAACCCTGACAGTGGCGTTACATTATTAAGATAAGATAAGATGGACTTTTATTAATCCCTCGTGGGGAAATTGTTTCTCTGCATTTGACCCATCCTGTGTTAGGAGCAGTGTGCTGCCATTTTGAACGGCACCCGGGGAGCAGTGTAGGGAACGGTGCCTTGCTCAGGGACACCTCGTAGCACTTGGTCTTGCCGGGACTTGAACTGGTGACCTTCCAGTTGCCAAGCCAAGTCCCTATCGACTTCGCCACCACCACCCCATAAGCTAAACCTCTTTAAAGTAATCAAATTCTATGCATTTTCTAAAACAGAAAAACTGTATTTACTGGTATCCCTTTACTTTACTTTAATTATATCTCCCATTTCCCCGACCGTTCCAATTCTTTATTCTGAGATCTCTTTTGTTTTCTCTGCCCTCGCTCCACTCTGCTTCTGCCAGTGTTATGAAATCTGAGAGTCTCTCTGAAACTCAAAGACTCTTTATTGGCATGAACATAATAAATCACAGTATTGCCAAAGCACAATGAACAAGGGGGGTGTAACGGTTTGAAAGAAGAAAGCAAAACATAATCCAACAATAGTGGCACACACACACACACACACGTTGCCAAAGAGCCAAATGAAATCACATTCCAGCCGCTTTCATTCAGCCTCTCTCCTCTTCAAAGCCTTGTGATGTGGGGTCACTTCCTGTTGTTGGTTTGATTAAGTTCTCACAGCTCAGTTTTTTGGGAAGACTTTGCTTTTGAGAGTAGATAAAACAATCCAAGTGGTGTTAGGTTAACGTGACATGAAACTAAGAAGGCGTTTATTTACACACTCCAAAAAAAGTGAATGTCAAGAAGTAACTGCAGCTGAAAGCTTCTTGTTTAGGTGATCGAATTAATGGGTTGTTGTCATTTTTACCAAAAAACCTGTATTATTGAGGTAGTTTTGGGTTTCCTGTAGTGTTTTCTATCGGTGTGATATACACCTGAACATCAGCAGGAGAGGACTCTTTAAAGTAGAGACACTACATACTGATATACACCTGAACATCAGCAGGAGAGGACTCTTTAAAGTAGAGACACTACATACTGATATACACCTGAACATCAGCAGGAGAGGACTCTTTAAAGTAGAGACACTACATACTGATATACACCTGAACAGCAGCAGGAGAGGACTCTTTAAAGTAGAGACACTACATACTGATATACACCTGAACATCAGCAGGAGAGGACTCTTTAAAGTAGAGACACTACATACTGATATACACCTGAACATCAGCAGGAGAGGACTCTTTAAAGTAGAGACACTACATACTGATATACACCTGAACAGCAGCAGAAGAGGACTCTTTAAAGTAGAGACACTACATACTGATATACACCTGAACATCAGCAGGAGAGGACTCTTTAAAGTAGAGACACTACATACTGATATACACCTGAACATCAGCAGGAGAGGACTCTTTAAAGTAGAGACACTACATACTGATATACACCTGAGCATCAGCAGGAGAGGACTCTTTAAAGTAGAGACACTACATACTGATATACACCTGAACATCCACAGGAGAGGACTCTTTAAAGTAGAGACACTACATACTGATATACACCTGAACATCAGCAGGAGAGGACTCTTTAAAGTAGAGACACTACATACTGATATACACCTGAACATCAGCAGGAGAGGACTCTTTAAAGTAGAGACACTACATACTGATATACACCTGAGCATCAGCAGGAGAGGACTCTTTAAAGTAGAGACACTACATACTGATATACACCTGAACATCAGCAGGAGAGGACTCTTTAAAGTAGAGACACTACATACTGATATACACCTGAACATCAGCAGGAGAGGACTCTTTAAAGTAGAGACACTACATACTGATATACACCTGAACATCAGCAGGAGAGGACTCTTTAAAGTAGAGACACTACATACTGATATACACCTGAGCATCAGCAGGAGAGGACTCTTTAAAGTAGAGACACTACATACTGATATACACCTGAACATCCACAGGAGAGGACTCTTTAAAGTAGAGACACTACATACTGATATACACCTGAACATCAGCAGGAGAGGACTCTTTAAAGTAGAGACACTACATACTGATATACACCTGAACATCAGCAGGAGAGGACTCTTTAAAGTAGAGACACTACATACTGATATACACCTGAGCATCAGCAGGAGAGGACTCTTTAAAGTAGAGACACTACATACTGATATACACCTGAACATCAGCAGGAGAGGACTCTTTAAAGTAGAGACACTACATACTGATATACACCTGAACATCAGCAGGAGAGGACTCTTTAAAGTAGAGACACTACATTCTGATATACACCTGAACATCAGCAGGAGAGGACTCTTTAAAGTAGAGACACTACATACTGATATACACCTGAACATCAGCAGGAGAGGACTCTTTAAAGTAGAGACACTACATACTGATATACACCTGAACATCAGCAGGAGAGGACTCTTTAAAGTAGAGACACTACATACTGATATACACCTGAACATCAGCAGGAGAGGACTCTTTAAAGTAGAGACACTACATACTGATATACACCTGAACAGCAGCAGGAGAGGACTCTTTAAAGTAGAGACACTACATACTGATATACACCTGAACATCAGCAGGAGAGGACTCTTTAAAGTAGAGACACTACATACTGATATACACCTGAACATCAGCAGGAGAGGACTCTTTAAAGTAGAGACACTACATACTGATATACACCTGAACAGCAGCAGAAGAGGACTCTTTAAAGTAGAGACACTACATACTGATATACACCTGAACATCAGCAGGAGAGGACTCTTTAAAGTAGAGACACTACATACTGATATACACCTGAACATCAGCAGGAGAGGACTCTTTAAAGTAGAGACACTACATACTGATATACACCTGAGCATCAGCAGGAGAGGACTCTTTAAAGTAGAGACACTACATACTGATATACACCTGAACATCCACAGGAGAGGACTCTTTAAAGTAGAGACACTACATACTGATATACACCTGAACATCAGCAGGAGAGGACTCTTTAAAGTAGAGACACTACATACTGATATACACCTGAACATCAGCAGGAGAGGACTCTTTAAAGTAGAGACACTACATACTGATACACACCTGAGCATCAGCAGGAGAGGACTCTTTAAAGTAGAGACACTACATACTGATATACACCTGAACATCAGCAGGAGAGGACTCTTTAAAGTAGAGACACTACATACTGATATACACCTGAACATCAGCAGGAGAGGACTCTTTAAAGTAGAGACACTACATACTGATATACACCTGAACATCAGCAGGAGAGGACTCTTTAAAGTAGAGACACTACATACTGATATACACCTGAGCATCAGCAGGAGAGGACTCTTTAAAGTAGAGACACTACATACTGATATACACCTGAACATCCACAGGAGAGGACTCTTTAAAGTAGAGACACTACATACTGATATACACCTGAACATCAGCAGGAGAGGACTCTTTAAAGTAGAGACACTACATACTGATATACACCTGAACATCAGCAGGAGAGGACTCTTTAAAGTAGAGACACTACATACTGATATACACCTGAGCATCAGCAGGAGAGGACTCTTTAAAGTAGAGACACTACATACTGATATACACCTGAACATCAGCAGGAGAGGACTCTTTAAAGTAGAGACACTACATACTGATATACACCTGAACATCAGCAGGAGAGGACTCTTTAAAGTAGAGACACTACATTCTGATATACACCTGAACATCAGCAGGAGAGGACTCTTTAAAGTAGAGACACTACATACTGATATACACCTGAACATCAGCAGGAGAGGACTCTTTAAAGTAGAGACACTACATACTGATATACACCTGAACATCAGCAGGAGAGGACTCTTTAAAGTAGAGACACTACATTCTGATATACACCTGAACATCAGCAGGAGAGGACTCTTTAAAGTAGAGACACTACATACTGATATACACCTGAACATCAGCAGGAGAGGACTCTTTAAAGTAGAGACACTACATTCTGATATACACCTGAACATCAGCAGGAGAGGACTCTTTAAAGTAGAGACACTACATTCTGATATACACCTGAACATCAGCAGGAGAGGACTCTTTAAAGTAGAGACACTACATACTGATATACACCTGAACATCAGCAGGAGAGGACTCTTTAAAGGGAAAAAGGGAGCTGGCGAGGAATTAAAGGAAAACATATTTAAAATGACGTAAGCCAGCAATAAAAGAATCCTCATTAACAAAGTGAACTTGTGATGGGAGTGCCAGAAAGAGATGATCTGTTCTCAGAAAGCGGAGGGAAATGTGAACAAGTCTTATTTCTGGGAAACTCACCTCTCTGCTTGATTTCTAAATCATGTGTGAAGCCTTTTGAAGTGCGAGAGCTCAGGAGAGTCGATGTTCTGAGCATGAGGAGGGAATAACAGAGAAGGTCAAATGAATGATGATGTTGTGCATGGTAAGTGTGTGTCATTAAGTGTGTGTGTGTTACAGGGTGACAGAGTTGATGGGATACACTCCTGATGATCTGATTGGTCGCTCAGTCTACGACTTTTATCACGCCTTGGACTCAGACGGCGTCACCAAGAGTCACAACAACCGTAAGTCAATAAATAGGGCTGAAAGAAACAAGAATAAAATAAATAAAACACGAATATAATAAATACAATAGGAATATAATAATTAAAGACCCAAATACAAATAAAACAATTAAGAAAATACTTTATAAATTAAATTACAGGCTGTATTTCTTACAATTTGAATGTATTATGTATTCTTTTTCTGGTATAAACATTGGTGTGTGTGTGTGTGAGTTTGTGTGTGTGTGTGAGTTTGTGTGTGTTATCATTATTAAATAAAACACATTCATTGATGCTCTGATGAGGTTTGCACATCTGCTGCCACAAACACACACTGCACAGGGGACCAGGTGGCCTCTATTTAATCTGTTTTGGTGTGTGTGTGTGTGTGTGTGTGTGTGTGTGTGTGTGTGTGTGTGTGTGTGTGTGTGTGTGTGTGTGTGTGTGTGTGTGGTGTGTGTGTGTGTGTGTGTGTGTGTGTGTGTGTGTGTGGTGTGTGTGTGTGTGTGTGTGTGTGTGTGTGTGTGTGTGTGTGTGTGTGTGTGTGTGTGTGTGTGTGTGTGTGGTGTGTGTGTGTGTGTGTGTGTGGTGTGTGTGTGTGTGTGTACTCTGCAAACATGATGGCAGTTTCGTGCTCTCCACAAGTATAAAATAATACTAAATACAAAATGTATTCCACGGTGTGTGTTGTCCACAGCTGATGTTAAACTGACCGGACTTCTTTCTGTGGATTGATTTGACTGCACAAAAAAATATCTGCGAAAACTATCAGACCTTTGGAATGTCCAAACTGACCAATCAGAATTTAATATTTATCCAAGCCATGTGATAAGTGTACATATCTGTTTTCCAGTTATGGTATTATAAGTATATATATATATATATACTTATAATAACAGCAAACAGAAAAAATGCATATTCTTAAAATAACTACAAACAGATTAAAGTACAAGAAGTTAACGTTTTTATTGCAATGAAGGATCTGACTTGCGATTACTGGACTCCTTAGTTGGCTGTTGAGATAAAGAGCTCTCTATTTCACTTGCTATATGTCACAGACACACACACACACACACACACACACACACACACACACACACACACACACACACACACACACACACACACACACACACACAGCGGCTCTCACGGCCAACGTGACCAGCCTGTCGATCGGCACATGTTAACAGCGTTCTCTGCTCCATGTCATTTTGCAATGAGCGTCCTCAAAAACACACATTCAGTCAGTGGCCTTATGTACACTCTCTGACCACAGCTCTGCTCCTTTCCCACGCCAGCGCTGAACTCTGGACCGAAGCCAGCCGGCTCCAAGTCAAACATTTCTGCAGCTAACCCAACTGTAGTCCCTTCCACAGCTCGCTGCCGGAGAGATGTGTGGATATTTCATGAATAATACAAAAGTGAAACACTAAGCTTACATAGTTGGTCTGAGCTTGGACTGCAAAGTTTATCAAAGCATATTGTAGGTTAAACTCGGTTAAAGGTCAACAGATCATAAAAGTGTGCTTCCTTCCAAGAAGATTCTTTAGTATCTACTGGAGACGGGACAATAAGATCTCATAACATTATTATGTTACTATCAATAAATAAAGCTACTATAGGTCATGTTTTACGGCCTTAGTGTAGCACTAGATCAGTAACGAGATGACGTGATCAGGAGGTAACTGTATCTCCTTGCAGTTACATAACAAATAAGATGACTGTCATATCTCTAACAGTTGGGGATTACTAGCAGGAGTAAACCCTAAAAAGGTCATATAGTGTTTGTTGTAAAAGGATCAGATGTTCTCTCTTCTCTGTAAACAGTTCTGATCTCTAATACTGTACGTGAGAATCTATTCTTCTCCTGCCTGAATCTACTTCATGGTTTCCACTTCATTTGTTCTGTTTCTAATTCAGCAGGTGAACCTATATGTTCATAAAACAGTGTGTGTGTGTGTGTGTGTGTGTGTGTGTGTGTGTGTGTGTGTGTGTGTGTGTGTGTGTGTGTGTGTGTGTGTGTGTGTGTGTGTGTGTGTGTGTGTGTGTGTGTGTGTGTGTGTGTGTGTGTGTGTGTGTGTGTGTGAGCTTAACTGTGTGTATTAAACTAAAACGGAGCATTTCCTGTCCAGCTCAGATTTTATTTCTGCTTTTGTAAACTGTAGTCTTAGCTCGTGGGCATCACTGTTGGTGTATGAATATGATGACACTGTGTCTGTGTGTGCAGTGTGCTCTAAGGGGCAGGCGGTCAGCGGTCAGTATCGAATGCTGGCGAAGAACGGAGGCTACGTGTGGGTGGAGACGCAGGGAACCGTTATTTACAACAGCCGTAACTCCCAGCCTCAGTGCATCGTCTGCATCAACTACGTCCTCAGGTGAGAACACACACACACACACACACACACACACACACACACACACACACACACACACACACACAACTACATACTGATATACACCTGAACATCAGCAGGAGAGGACTCTTTAAAGTAGAGACACTACATACTGATATACACCTGAACATCAGCAGGAGAGGACTCTTTAAAGTAGAGACACTACATACTGATATACACATGAACATCAGCAGGAGAGGACTCTTTAAAGTAGAGACACTACATACTGATATACACCTGAACATCAGCAGGAGAGGACTCTTTAAAGTAGAGACCCTACATACTGATATACACCTGAACATCAGCAGGAGAGGACTCTTTAAAGTAGAGGACACTACATACTGATATACACCTGAACATCAGCAGGAGAGGACTCTTTAAAGTAGAGACACTACATACTGATATTACACCTGAACATCAGCAGGAGAGGACTCTTTAAAGTAGAGGACACTACATACTGATATACACCTGAACATCAGCAGGAGAGGACTCTTTAAATTAGAGACCACTACATACTGATATACACCTGAACATCAGCAGGAGAGGACTCTTTAAAGTAGAGACACTACATACTGATATACACCTGAACATCAGCAGGAGAGGACTCTTTAAAGTAGAGACACTACATACTGATATACACCTGAACATCAGCAGGAGAGGACTCTTAAAGTATGAGACCCTACATACTGATATACACCTGAACATCAGCAGGAGAGGACTCTTTAAAGTAGAGACACTACATACTGATATACACCTGAACATCAGCAGGAGAGGACTCTTTAAAGTAGAGACACTACATACTGATATACACCTGAACATCAGCAGGAGAGGACTCTTTAAAGTAGAGACCACTACACACTGATATACACCTGAACATCAACAGGAGAGGACTCTTTAAAGTAGAGACACTACATACTGATATACACCTGAACATCAGCAGGAGAGGACTCTTTAAAGTAGAGACCCTACATACTGATATACACCTGAATATCAGCAGGAGAGGACTCTTTAAAGTAGAGACACTACATACTGATATACACCTGAATATCAGCAGGAGAGGACTCTTTAAAGTAGAGACACTACATACTGATATACACCTGAACATCAGCAGGAGAGGACTCTTTAAAGTAGAGACACTACATACTGATATACACCTGAACATCAGCAGGAGAGGACTCTTTAAAGTAGAGACACTACGTACTGATATACGCCTGAACATCAGCAGGAGAGGACTCTTTAAAGTAGAGACACTACATACTGATATACACCTGAACATCAGCAGGAGAGGACTATTTAAAGTAGAGACACTACATACTGATATTACACCTGAACATCAGCAGGAGAGGACTCTTTAAAGTAGAGACACTACATACTGATATACACCTGAACATCAGCAGGAGAGGACCTCTTTAAAGTAGAGAACACTACATACTGATATACACCTGAACATCAGCAGGAGAGGACTCTTTAAAGTAGAGACACTACGTACTGATATACACCTGAAAGAGTGTGTTCTGCATCTCTACACAAGTCTCACTCTGCCCTCCTCTCTGAACCCACAGTGACATCGAGGAGAAGTCGATGATTTTGTCTCTGAAGCAGACCGAGTCTCTGTTTAAGCCGCGACACATGAGCAGCTTCTTCACCGCGGGGGGTGCAGGAGTGAGTGGAGAGCCCGGTGACTCTCTGTTCAACAAACTGAAGGAGGAGCCGGATGAGCTGGCCCAGCTGGCGCCAACACCCGGAGACACCATCGTCACCCTGGACTTTGGTATGTATCTGCTGTAATCACATGATGGCGTCATTATGATTAGAAGCAATTATACTCTCTTCTTCGACCGGTATTACAATTAGACAATCGCAACTACCATATGAATTCTAATTGATCCTGTAAATGATACGATACGGTATTTCTTATGGTATCAAAAGTGTTTTCGATAACATAAGAAACAATACAATACGCTACAGTATTTTACGTTACTATACAATACAATACGATACAATAGTAAACGATAAATAGTATACAATCCACAATTTGCGACAAACGATACTACAGTATAAGATACGATATGGTACGACACAAAACAATATGATACTATACGAACCTATACGATAAGAAACAACATAGTTCTGTGCTTCGATACAATAATACACAATATAAAAACACAATACAATACATTTAACTGAATGTGTTTCGCCTCTCTCCTGCAGATTGCCCTGCGTTCGAGGAGCCTCCGCAGCCTGGAGGATACACCCAGGTGTCGGCTGCAGCTATGCCCCTTCCTGGACCTCCTTCCTGGGCCATCGAGAGCCACAAGCTCTCCCCCCCGGCACCACTTCATAGAGAAATGTCCAACATGGTGGGACCGTTCACCGTTCATCAGAATCCTCATCCAGGCAGCAACACCCCCACCCTGAGCAGCTGCTCCACGGTGAGACCCTGACCTTAAACAGGAAGCAGGAAGTAGTTAGTGAGCGAGGACTGGTTGTGTTGGTTTGTTCTGTTTTCAGCCAGGCCATTTGGGGGGTGGAGGTCAATAACTGTGGGCACTGTGTGTGAGAATAATGTGGGAGGATATTTGGAAAGACCAGACTCTTAGCAGTGAATAGTGCCTTTGTTAAAAATAATCTCTTTGTTTCCGTCTTTAACTTTCTTTTTACACTCTTACGTGTCGTCACTACAATGCTACCAACAGTCATACCTACCTACCTGCCTACCTACCTGCCTACCTACCTACCTACCTACCTGCCTACCTGCCTACCTACCTACCTGCCTACCTGCCTGCCTACCTACCTACCTACCTACCTACCTACCTACCTGCCTACCTGCCTACCTACCTGCCTGCCTACCTACCTACCTACCTACCTGCCTACCTACCTACCTACCTACCTGCCTACCTACCTACCTGCCTGCCTACCTACCTGCCTACCTGCCTGCCTACCTACCTACCTGCCTACCTACCTACCTACCTGCCTACCTACCTGCCTACCTACCTACCTGCCTGCCTACCTACCTGCCTACCTAACCTCCCTACCTGCCTACCTACCTACCTGCCTACCTGCCTACCTACCTTACGTGTCGTCACTACAATGCTACCAACAGTCATACCTACCTACCTGCCTACCTACCTGCCTGCCTACCTACCTACCTGCCTACCTACCTGCCTGCCTACCTACCTGCCTACCTAACCTCCCTACCTGCCTACCTACCTACCTACCTGCCTACCTACCTTACGTGTCGTCACTACAATGCTACCAACAGTCATACCTACCTACCTGCCTACCTGCCTGCCTACCTACCTGCCTACCTACCTGCCTGCCTACCTACCTGCCTACCTACCTACCTGCCTACCTGCCTACCTACCTGCCTACCTACCTACCTACCTACCTTACGTGTCGTCACTACAATGCTACCAACAGTCATACCTACCTACCTGCCTACCTACCTGCCTGCCTACCTACCTGCCTACCTACCTGCCTGCCTACCTACCTGCCTGCCTACCTACCTACCTACCTGCCTACCTACCTACCTACCTGCCTACCTACCTACCTACCTACCTGCCTACCTTACGTGTCATCACTACAATGCTACCAACAGTCATACCTACCTACCTGCCTACCTACCTGCCTGCCTACCTGCCTACCTACCTGCCTCCCTACCTACCTACCTACCTACCTACCTACCTACCTACCTACCTACCTACCTGCCTACCTACCTACCTACCTGCCTACCTACCTCCCTACCTGCCTACCTACCTGCCTACCTACCTACCTGCCTACCTACCTACCTGCCTGCCTACCTACCTCCCTACCTACCTACCTGCCTACCTACCTGCCTACCTACCTACCTACCTACCTACACTGTCAGAAATAATGTGCTAAATTTGTACCTTTAGGGGTCCAACAGCTCGTCACTGGGGCAGTACCCTTAAAGGTACACCCATTGTACCCCTTAACAAGGGTACATATTAGTACCCTTACAGTTTGTACCTTATGGGGGCAAATATGTACCCCTGGGGACCATAATGGACCTTGATGCTCTAGGACTTAAATGTACCCTTGGAAATGGTACAAATGTGGCCTTTAAAGGGTACTGCCCCAGTGACAAGAGCATTGTACCTTATAATGGCAAATGTGTACTCAGTACAACATGGGACACAGTCAAACAATTATCTTTTCTCACATTTATTAACATAAACAATAATGACATCATCAATCTATAACACTTTCAACAATTAAATCATACAATTTATGGCAATATCACATTACAATTCATTTAAAAATGCCACATCACAAAAACATCTTTTCTATCAATACAGAATTTCAGAATAATGTTAAATGTATCAATGCCACACAATACAATCCAGCATAACGCATTTCATTGAACTATGAGGGGCCGTACAGGCCGTGATTCATACCGGTCCTCTCACGCACATAACATTCTGCTTTTACATACATATATTTTCACTCTTGCATACATATATTCTCATATATGTATGCAAGAGAAGAATGTATGTATGTAACAGTGAAAATATATGTATGTAAAAGGAGAATGTATGTGCGTAAGAGGACTAGTATGAATTACGGCCCCTCATATTGAACAATAGCTTTCCCCCCTTTTAAGTCACAATTCCCTTAAACATTTCAAATATTTCTAAGGGTAACATACAACTTATCATCAACATTGTACACATCGAGGGACTGAAAGTCCATTTCTTGTCCTGGTTTAATAACACTCCATTGAGTATCAACTTTGACTGTGTATGCATGCAGGTGTGAATCATAAGACATTGGGACAAGAAGCTTACCGCATAGAAGCCACAGTGTGTTAACATTTAAAATATATTTGATTATTCAGTTTCATTAAGGTGAAGGTGGTTCTTCGACACCTTGTACATCTATATGGTCGTGGCATTTTTAGTACAGTAGATTGATCATTCGGGTCACAGTGACTGGTAAGGGCTTTTCACCCACCTCAGTAATGTCTAGTATAGTACGTTGGAGAAAGGTCAGCGTATTCTTCATGTAGGGTGGGTAAGCCAAGTTGAAAACAAAGTAGGCACAGAAGGCTGAAATTACCCCATCTTCCACTCCTGCATAGATCCACACTGTCCAATTTGACCAAAACCGGAACCTTCCTGGTAAAGGCCATCTTCCAGTCGGTGTCTACCAACTGTACAGTTGGGTAGGGACTTGGAGCGTCGTGCTGTTCAGAGAAAAATAAAAATTACAGAACAATGGTGAAGTTAGCAAGTTATTAAAACCGATCCAGCTTCATGATCAAGGCTCCATACCATCATCATAGTCTAGCAAAAAACAGCATGAAACTTAATTATTACAATTTTCTAGTGAGACAAAAACAAGTGTTTTACCCCTGTAGATTATAAGGCACTAACTCCATACCTGTCCCAATGTAATGAACTGGTCGGCCTTCTCTTTAAAGATGTGGGGCAGCAGGATCAGCGCAGCACGGAAGTCCACATCTGTAGGACAAGGTGGAATAAGTCAAAGTTAAACATTTAAACGTAATTTGAGATTTTCAAATGAGATTTTCAAGCCCTAGCCTAGTTGACTGCCTTTTGATAAGAGTGCACAAAGCAGATGGAAATCACTTCAGGCAACATGTTGACTTTTCTGTAAATGTAATGCAAAAGTTGAATGAAAACCCAGTCTGTGCCTATTAACGCCTTTTAGTACGAGAGAAAAATAACTCATAAAATAATGATTTATTTTCTACCAAAGCTCTTTAAAAAAAGCACTGACCATAAACAAAAATAAAACGGTAGAATACCTGGTAGATCCTCTGCCAACATTTGCTCCCTCGCTTCAGAGTACATTTTGGCTAATGGGGATTTTCCGTGTGCTAGCTTGACCACCTTCGGCACAATGCCGGTGAAGCCCTCTTTCCAACGCCGGCACAAGTTCACCGCAGATGGCTGGATCCTGTCAACCTCATCGCACAACTGAAGAGAGTTAATAGAAAGGGGAAATTCATTAGTCATTTTACCAAATCATCTCAATATTGAAGGACCAGACCAGTATTAAAAGAACTCTCTTTTCTTCTTTTCAATGAAATTGACTGTTACAGTTCCGAGTGCTATGGAGTACTTACATTGACACCAAATGTGTGCTTTGAACAACTGAAAATGGACTGAATGTACTTTAATTCATATCACTTACCCCTGAGGGTGTTCTAAGGAAAGGATATTTTTTTCAGAACATCCTCAACTGTCATTCCATCCGCGATCTCCTTTCGGCGCCATGAAAAAGTTAGCTGCATTCTGTCTTTTACAACAGAGGTGTCTGGGTTCATCTTCTCATACTGCATTTGCAGAACGTGCACATGCCTCTCAATAGAGGATGCATCCTCACCGATTACAGCAGGCACCTGTTGGAAATAAAAAGTGAAAAGGAAACAGTTCATGTTTGAAGTTCAACTTCACAATGCAACATTTTTTTTTATCTCATCTGAACTAGAATTTTGCAACCACAAAAAATGACTGTTCAGACACTTCCAGTAAAATATTATGGTGCACAATAACTTCTCCAATAAAGGTATGCAGCTATATAAATTCACTCACTCCTGACACAGATCTGCAACAGCTTCTTGCAGCTTTCGTAGACTCTCTGGCTCTCTTGTGGCCAAACTTCTCCTTACTCCTTTTCACCTCATCTTCGTGGATTAAAGGCGCACGCTCTGCTTTGAATTTGCGTTTGAGGGACTGATGCCAGGTATGCTAACACGGACAGTGAAACAAAGATAACCCGCACTATTAAAAAACAATTAAATGAACGTATCCAAGGAAAACATAAACATAATACATTTGTATGCATTATTGTATTTATCATTCAATGTTTTTAAAATCATTACATCGGAAAATAACTAGCTGCATAATATCACATCAACTATCTTTTTAACTTACATAGCCGTTTCCCCCCAGATCCTTAAGGAAGGGATACTTCATAATACGTGCTTGAACCACTTGCACATATTCTGTGTTGGTGGGATACCTGTAAGAAAGATTAAATTAAGGAATAAAGCTATTTATACTCTACCAACAAATTGCTGTTTAAAAGCCACAATTGTGAACATACATCTTAGCATGGATCTTGAAATTCCCACAATTCATCACTTCCCACAGTAAATGTGGCTTTGCATCTTATCTGCCTGAAGTATATTGGTGAAGCAAAGAGTAAAAGTGGACAATACTGACTTACATTGTGTATTCTATTATTGCTTCATGGAGAACACGAATGATCCTATGTCGATCTCTGGATGACTTCTGACAAGCTTCTTTGTTATCAAGTTTGGTCTGAAGATCTCTGGGGAAAGGAGGAAGAACGAATCCAGCAGGCAGTCTCCCCCTTGCCTCCTTTCTGACATGGGGTGGGGAAGGGAGGGGATGAGGAACTTGTATTACCAGTAGTAGACAGATCAACCCCAAAGTAACACATAATTATAATTAGCAACCAAGGCAACAATATATTCAATGTTATACTATTCCATAATACCTCATAATATCTATTAAGACATGTTTGAAATGATTTGCAATGTAAAACTTACCTGTCAATAATCAAAGACTGCTCAATGTGTTCTTCGGGCACTGGTACTAAAGTTAGTGTTACAACATCCTTCAGCTCCTGAACACATGTGTTGAACTTGACTTGTTGTTTGAATGACCCAGGAAAAAGGTATGATACCATGGTATCTGTCGAGCCACACTCAACTGTTTCTCCATCCACTTCACTGACTGAAAAGAATGCAGGCACACGCGCACACACACAGAGAGGGAGAAGAAAAGAGTCATTTTTCAAACCAAACAAATACAAAATATATACATTAAAAGAGTAAATAGAGCACATCTTGTATACAAAAAAAAACGGTTACTCTTGGTCTACCAGTGTGTAGTAAAATCAATAGCTACCGTGAGAGCAGGTTACTGGTCACCGTCCAAAACAGACATTACTGACACATGCGGAGCATAAACGCATTTGATAAGCGACATCAATAGCGCCTGGTTTAGTAGCTTGTATGTGCAGCCGGTCAGTGCTACACACAGTTCAGGGAAAACATTGACTGAGCACAACATACAATCACACCTGGACAAAGTAATAGGAGCACAAGCACAAAACTCAGCGGCTTCTCTTTCAGGCGCAGCCTTACTTGAGAGACGGGATCACGTACAAGAGCTTCACTCAATCAAGCTAACATTAGCCAACAACTAGCAACTATAATATAACTCCTGTACTCCACAAAACGCCCCTGTGTAGACAGTCCTATTCAAAACAATGGCACGTCGATAGCTGCACCATGAACTGAACTAACGTTAATGGATTAACAAGGTTTTTAAACTTTTTAAAACACCTGTACCTCACACCTCTCGGCAGAAACCTGCGGACTGAGGAGAAATCACGCTGAGCAAGCTGATGACGTCATCAATGGCATAACGTAAAACAAATAAAACTCCGCTCAAAACCCCATATCAAAAGGTACATATAGACCTTATAAATTAACGGAAAAAACTACAATAGTATAATAGTAACAACATAACATGAAGAGGGATTTTAAGTTAAATGCAACTCTCTTTTTTTATATGCAATAACAAGAAGCATGTCAAACACAACGACATGGCGAATTAAGCCCTTATTACTCTCATGAAGGCATAACATGACTGAACCGTTAACGTGCAATCGTAACAATTGTTAGGATTTCCACTGTCTTAAGGTTAACTTATTAAAGTGGAACGTCACAGGCTATTTCAGATTGACCGCACTTAATGTTAGCTTCAATAGGTTCGCTAACTTTAGCTAGCTAGCTTTTTAGCTAGCAAGCAAGCCATTCGGTTCAACTCAATTAGACACGACCTTTAGATAAATCATTTAACTTAGCAGATATGGTCTATAAAGCCATACCTTGGTCATGCACTGGAACCTGTATTTTTGGAGCGATAAAACGGTTAAATTGCTGAGTTTAGCAAGCTAACGGTAGCTAACCCTAGGCTGATAACGTCAATTTTCTAGATAACGCTAGCTAGCAATTTAGCCATTCATTTCAGTTAAAGTTTCTTCAGTTTAGACAGAATAGATTGCATAGAACATATAACGCAGTATGTCAACATAATATTACCTCTGAATCTCTGTGCCTCTTCTTCGGTCACCTTTATTCCTGACTCTTCCAAGTTCTGGAGAAGCTCCTCGGTTGAAAGCTCCATGGTTTGCCGCCAAGTGCAAATGACAGTTTGAAGTTTGATTAAGCAAATGACGTGTCTGCCGTTGCTACTGCTACACCGAATGCGCATGTGTGAACTCTCTCATTCAAATATCAAAATCCACCATTGTAGCTCTTTATTTAGCCTTATCGTTGTTTCCAGGATAAATATTTGAAATTAAGTAATTTGCTGTCCAATTCTAATATTTCCAGCCTCTAAAAGGCTTCGGCCTAAATATTGCATGGAATTGTGTAGACCTACATTACAACTCAATTCCTTCTAATCCAATTTCACCGACAATAAAAAAGTATTGTTGAACCTAGGCTTAATGAATGTGTGCACGCACAAAACCAGATTTCACAATTGCCTTAGCAGCCCTGATGCATTAACCATCCCATCCCCCAACAGCATTTTGGTCACACACTGACATCTTTGTGATTGTACCCCTATATGATGGAAAAATGGTACAGACATGGACCCTTTCTCAGTTTGGAACTTATATGTACCTTATCAACCTAGAAAAATTATCTATTAGTACCTTATGGATCAACTATGACCCTTTGAGGGTACATCACCAGCAGTTGTACCTTAGAGAACATAAATGGACCTCCACCGTACCCTTTTTTCTGACAGTGAGTATACCTACCTACCTACCTACCTACCTACCTACCTACCTACCTACCTACCTACCTACCTACCTACCTACCTACCTACCTACCTACCTACCTACCTACCTACCTACCTACCTACCTACCTACCTACCTACCTACCTACCTACCTACCTACCTACCTACCTACCTACCTACCTACCTACCGTTAAAACTCATCTCTTAGTATTTGTCTCTCCCGCCCTGCAGCCCAGCAGTCCAGGAGATTACTACACCTCTCTGGAGAGTGACCTGAAGGCGGAGCTGACGGATAAACTGTCTGCTCTGGAGACAGAGGGCAGCGACAGCTCTGCAAACACTGAAGTGCCTGTAAGACGAATATATTATGCTAATGTATAAAACGTCTCTGTCTGTTATCATTACATTTCGTCTTAAAATACACCTGAACATCAGCAGGAGAGGACTCTTTAAAGTAGAGACACTACATACTGATATACACCTGAACATCAGCAGGAGAGGACTCTTTAAAGTAGAGACACTACATACTGATATACACCTGAACATCAGCAGGAGAGGACTCTTTAAAGTAGAGACACTACATACTGATATACACCTGATCATCAGCAGGAGAGGACTCTTTAAAGTAGAGACACTACATACTGATATACACCTGATCATCAGCAGGAGAGGACTCTTTAAAGTAGAGACACTACATACTGATATACACCTGAACATCAGCAGGAGAGGACTCTTTAAAGTAGAGACACTACATACTAATATACACCTGAACATCAGCAGGAGAGGACTCTTTAAAGTAGAGACTCTACATACTGATATACACCTGAACATCAGCAGGAGAGGACTCTTTAAAGTGGAGACACTACATACTGATATACACCTGAACATCAGCAGGAGAGGACTCTTTAAAGTAGAGACACTACATACTGATATACACCTGAACATCAGCAGGAGAGGACTCTTTAAAGTAGAGACTCTCCATACTGATATACACCTGAACATCAGCAGGAGAGGACTCTTTAAAGTAGAGACACTACATACTGATATACACCTGAACATCAGCAGGAGAGGACTCTTTAAAGTAGAGACACTACATACTGATATACACCTGAACATCAGCAGGAGAGGACTCTTTAAAGTAGAGGCACTACATACTGATATACACCTGAACATCAGCAGGAGAGGACTCTTTAAAGTAGAGGCACTACATACTGATATACACCTGAACATCAGCAGGAGAGGACTCTTTAAAGTAGAGGCACTACATACTGATATACACCTGAACATCAGCAGGAGAGGACTCTTTAAAGTAGAGGCACTACATACTGATATACACCTGAACATCAGCAGGAGAGAACTCTTTAAAGTAGAGACACTACATACTGATATACACCTGAACATCAGCAGGAGAGGACTCTTTAAAGTAGAGGCACTACATACTGATATACACCTGAACATCAGCAGGAGAGAACTCTTTAAAGTAGAGGCACTACATACTGATATACACCTGAACATCAGCAGGAGAGGACTCTTTAAAGTAGAGACTCTACATACTGATATACACCTGAACATCAGCAGGAGAGGACTCTTTAAAGTGGAGACACTACATACTGATATACACCTGAACATCAGCAGGAGAGGACTCTTTAAAGTAGAGACACTACATACTGATATACACCTGAACATCAGCAGGAGAGGACTCTTTAAAGTAGAGACTCTCCATACTGATATGAACCCTTAACAAACCATGTCTTCCTTCTCTTTCCAGAGGGACCTGAGTGATTTGGACCTGGAGACGTTGGCTCCGTACATCCCGATGGACGACGAGGACTTCCAGCTGCACCCCATCATCCCCGAATCTGATTCCATGGAGGGGGGGTCCAACATCCTGCATTCCACCAAACCCGCCAAACCCAGTTTCAGCAACATCGCCAGCCTCTTTCAGCCTCTTTCCTCCCCCCAAAACCCACCGGGAAACTTCCAGCATCAGGCCGCATTATCCTTGGCTTCAGAGGGGGAAAGGGGCTCCAGAATAGGAGGGTCTTACATGAATAATCCCTCCTATCAGGCTCCAGCCACTACCAGCACCCCTCTGTCCTCCATGGGGGGCATGCAGAATCTGCAGTGGCCCCCAGACCCTCTGTTAGCCTGCCAACAACAACAACAGGCGTCCAAGGTCTACCTGAGGGAGCCGTTGTTGAGAGAGGAGAGGCCATCATGCCAGCAGAGCATGTCTCACCTGATGCAGAAACAGAGGTGATTAATACACACACAACATTTCACCTTTTACAAAAACAATACAGATATTTTTAATAATAATGCATGTTATTTATATAGCGCTTCTCCTGGTGCTCAAAGCGCTTAATATTGTTTTATTTAATATAGGGTTTAACTATGCAGTAATAATAAATTATTTAAATACAATACAAAAATGTAAAAGGGCAAATAAATGAATGGACAGTATTTTTAAATGCATCCTGTTCGTAGTATTTAATCTAAAGAGTGTGTGTGTGTGTGTGTGTGTGTGTGTGTGTGTGTGTGTGTGTGTGTGTGTGTGTGTGTGTGTGTGTGTGTGTGTGTGTGTGTGTGTGTGTGTGTGTGTGTGTGTGTGTGTGTGTGTGTGTGTGTGTGTGTGTGTGTGTGTGTGTGTGTGTGTGTGTGTGTGTGTGTGTGTGTGTGTGTGTGTGTGTGTGTGTGTGTGTGTGTGTGTGTGTGTGTGTGTGTGTGTGTGTGTGTGTGTGTGTGTGTGTGTGTGTGTGTGTGTGTGTGTGTGGTGTGTGTGTGTGTGTGTGTGTGTGTGTGTGTGTGTGTGTGTGTGTGTGTGTGTGTGTGTGTGTGTGTGTGTGTGTGTGTGTGTGTGTGTGTGTGTGTGTGTGTGTGTGTGTGTGTGTGTGTGTAGGTCTGTTGATAACTTTGTGCAGGCCTACAGAGACATGAGTCCAGCCAGAGTGGCCATGGCCAACAGCATCAAGCGCTCCTTCAATCAGATGGCTGTGGTGAGTTTCTTCTGGAAACTATTTGTGTTTTAATTAAATCTTTAAAATGTAAATCCTTTTCTATCATGGCTACATCATTTAAGGTCAACACATAGCTTTGATAATACCTGTTTACATGATCATGTATGCCTACATTAAGCACAGTGGTCTTGAGTTGTTTGAGGAAATGTATTTTTTTTCTTTGTGTCAGGGCGAGGGTCCTACGTCAGATTGTATGTGGAAGAAAATGAGGGGTGACAGCAACATGGATCGCTCCCTCAGTGCAGGATCACTGGCAGGTGAGAGACGTGTGTGTGTGTGCGCGTGTGCGTGCGCGTGTGTGTGTGTGCGTGCAAGTAGAAGTACAGATACTCGTGTTTAAAAATACTCTGGTGAAAGTAGAAGTACTGACTAAACTTCTTTACTCAAGTAAAAGTAAAGAGGCTTTGAAATGTACTTCAACTAGCAGCTGTTTTAAAGAGTACCTGACCTCCCTTTATATTAATAGAACAATAAAAATAGAACACGCAATGACTCTAAATAATAATGATCACGCCACCAAACACACATTCAAGCTAAAGGAACCAGCTGTTTGGAAAATGAGAGAAGTAGAAAGTACAAGTATTTGAGTTCAACATGTAAGAAGTAGAAAGTACAGGTATTTGGGTTCAACATGTAAGAAGTAGAAAGTACAGGTATTTGAGTTCAACATGTAAGAAGTAGAAAGTACAGGTATTTGAGTTCAACATGTGAGAAGTAGAAAGTACAAGTATTTGGGTTCAACATGTAAGAAGTAGAAAGTACAGGTATTTGAGTTCAACATGTAAGAAGTAGAAAGTACAAGTATTTGGGTTCAACATGTAAGAAGTAGAAAGTACAGGTATTTGGGTTCAACATGTAAGAAGTAGAAAGTACAAGTATTTGGGTTCAACATGTAAGAAGTAGAAAGTACAGGTATTTGAGTTCAACATGTAAGAAGTAGAAAGTACAGGTATTTGGGTTCAACATGTAAGAAGTAGAAAGTACAAGTATTTGAGTTCAACATGTAAGAAGTAGAAGTACAGGTATTTGGGTTCAACATGTAAGAAGTAGAAAGTACAAGTATTTGGGTTCAACATGTAAGAAGTAGAAAGTACAGGTATTTGAGTTCAACATGTAAGAAGTAGAAAGTACAGGTATTTGAGTTCAACATGTAAGAAGTAGAAAGTACAGGTATTTGAGTTCAACATGTAAGAAGTAGAAAGTACAGGTATTTGAGTTCAACATGTAAGAAGTAGAAAGTACAGGTATTTGAGTTCAACATGTAAGAAGTAGAAAGTACAGGTATTTGTGTTCAACATGTAAGAAGTAGAAAGTACAGGTATTTGTGTTCAACATGTAAGAAGTAGAAAGTACAGGTATTTGAGTTCAACATGTAAGAAGTAGAAAGTACAGGTATTTGAGTTCAACATGTAAGAAGTAGAAAGTACAGGTATTTGTGTTCAACATGTAAGAAGTAGAAAGTACAGGTATTTGAGTTCAACATGTAAGAAGTAGAAAGTACAGGTATTTGAGTTCAACATGTAAGAAGTAGAAAGTACAGATATTTGAGTTCAACATGTAAGAAGTAGAAAGTACAGGTATTTGAGTTCAACATGTAAGAAGTAGAAAGTACAGGTATTTGAGTTCAACATGTAAGAAGTAGAAAGTACAGGTATTTGTGTTCAACATGTAAGAAGTAGAAAGTACAGGTATTTGAGTTCAACATGTAAGAAGTAGAAAGTACAGGTATTTGAGTTCAACATGTAAGAAGTAGAAAGTACAGGTATTTGTGTTCAACATGTAAGAAGTAGAAAGTACAGGTATTTGTGTTCAACATGTAAGAAGTAGAAAGTACAGGTATTTGAGTTCACATGTAAAGAAGTAGAAAGTACAGGTATTTGAGTTCAACATGTAAGAAGTAGAAAGTACAGGTATTTGTGTTCAACATGTAAGAAGTAGAAAGTACAGGTATTTGTGTTCAACATGTAAGAAGTAGAAAGTACAGGTATTTGTGTTCAACATGTTAGAAGTAGAAAGTACAGGTATTTGTGTTCAACATGTAAGAAGTAGAAAGTACAGGTATTTGAGTTCAACATGTAAGAAGTAGAAAGTACAGGTATTTGAGTTCAACATGTAAGAAGTAGAAAGTACAGGTATTTGTGTTCAACATGTAAGAAGTAGAAAGTACAGGTATTTGTGTTCAACATGTAAGAAGTAGAAAGTACAGGTATTTGTGTTCAACATGTAAGAAGTAGAAAGTACAGGTATTTGAGTTCAACATGTGAGAAGTAGAAAGTACAGGTATTTGAGTTCAACATGTGAGAAGTAGAAAGTACAGGTATTTGAGTTCAACATGTAAGAAGTAGAAAGTACAGGTATTTGTGTTCAACATGTGAGAAGTAGAAAGTAAAAAGGAGTAGTGGAGTAAAGTACTGATACCAGGAACATGTACTTAAGTAAAGTAACGAAGTATTTGTACTCCACTACTTCCCACCTCTGACTGTAACCTGTATTTGTGTGTCAGCGTCAGACATGGAGAGGATGATGTCTTCACGTCTGCAGCAACACAGGAAGTCTCAGTTTCCAGGAAACGAGAAACTCTTTTCCCAAAAGAGCTGCAACTTCTCACCGTACAACCTGCAGCCTTCCAGCAAGAGCCAGGGTGAGCCCAGAGCGCAGTGTTTACAATACAACGGGTTCAAATGCATTTTTTTGCAATTTGTTTCTTACATTTTCTCTGAATTTTGCCTTTTTTTTTGTGACTTACTAACTCTCACTGTTTCTCAGATTTTGACTTTTCAGAATTTTCAGAATTTTTTATTTTCACTTCTTCTCAGAATTCGGACTTTTTTCAGAACTCTCACTTTTCGCAGAATTTTTTTACCAGTATTATTAGATTTTTTTCAAAATTCTCACTTTTTATTTTATTTAGCTTTTTATCAGTCTTTAGATTTTTTTCAGAAATATTTTACTTTTTTTTCGAAATTCTCACTTTTTTCAGATTTTGACTTTTTTGTTTTGACTTCTCTCAGAATTTGTACCTTTTTCAGAATTTCCACTTCTTTTTATCATCATATTTCCTCAGAATTATCACTTTTCCTCAGAATTATCACCTTTTTCTCAGAATTATCACTTTTTCTCAGAATTATCACTTTTTCTCAGAATTATCACCTTTTTTCCGAACTCTCATATTTTGACTTTTTGTTTTGACTTTTCGCAGAATTTTGACTTTTATTAGAATTAAAAAATGTTTTAAAAATTCACACTTTTTCTCAGATTGGACTTTTTTCAAAGTTCTCACTTTTTCTCAGATTTTTCACTTAAAATGTTTTTTTTCAAAGCAATATTTCCGCTATTTCTCACTTTTCTTATGTTTGGGATCACAAACAGAAACGTATCCAACTGTTCCTTGCATCCTTGTGATAAATCCTTGTCACAATATGTTTCTGATTCGCCTCCATTTCCCTCACTTTGCAGGGATTGCAAGCCGTCTGCTGGGCCCTTCCTTCGAGGCGTCTTGCCTGCCGGAGCTGACCCGTTACGACTGTGAGGTGAACGTCCCTCTGCAGGGGAACCTGTACCTGCTGCAGGGCTGCGACCTGCTGAGAGCCCTGGACCAATCAGCCTAGAGAATAAACAACATATACTTAAAGCCTTCTGAGGCTAGGCTACCTACAGGGGACGGTATTCATTACCCTGACTCATCATAGGACTCAATCTGTCCCTCTATAGTCCTGCAACATCTTAAACAAGCTGAGCTATCAGGGTCAAGCCACTTAAAGCCCCTTTTTCCTCTCGACTTAAATCAGATGAAACACAAAAGTATTGAGCCGACCACCTAGACTACAAACACACATATGATATAAAACCAGGGTCACTCGGTGAACAAATATCAAGAAAATATCTCACAGAGTAAATGGGATGAAGCTCTCTCTGATACCCTGATGGTTCTATGTGTTCAGAAACTCTGGCTTTTGGTGTAAAATGTGTAAAAGTTTCCTGCTAAGGCTCAGCGAGACCCTGATATGAACTCTATGCAGCTCATTTACCTTCTCTTTCCCTGCACTTAGCTCAGAGGAGAAGTACTATACTACCTAGACACCGTTTTCTTTCACTTTGTGTATTTGACCAGCAATTAGACAGAGCATTTCCAGTAATTAGACAGAGCATTTCCAGCAATTAGACAGAGCATTTCCAGCAATTAGACAGAGCATTTCCAGCAATTAGACAGAGCATTTCCAGCAATTAGACAGAGCATTTCCAGCAATTAGACAGAGCATTTCCAGCAATTAGACAGAGCATTTCCAGCAATTAGACAGAGCATTTCCAGCAAATAGACAGAGCATTTCCAGCAATTAGACAGAGCATTTCCAGCAATTGGACAGAGCATTTCCAGCAATTAGACAGAGCATTTCCAGCAATTAGACGGAGCCGCTCTCTCCCCTAGTCCCAGTCAAAGTCTCAATCGAGAGTTGTTAAATGGTTCTTAACTGTAGCCATCTTTTTTAAATTTGTAATAATTTTACAAAGCATGTTCTTTGATTGTGCAGATTAACTCCCCAACAAGTAAATGGGATGGTTGATAAAAGATACAACTTCCAAATCACACGACGTGATTTCAGAACGTCGAAACTCAAGAAAATAAATATATTTCAGTTTTTATTTAATTTTCCAAAGAGAAACTGATAATTAGAATCGATAAGAAGAATATAAATAAGACGTACATCTGCACAATCCTTTTCCACAAATACAGAACTACTCATTATAGTTTTAATAACAGAGTATGATTCAGACAAAGTACTTCTGTTTGGGTTTTTCACTCTACCTACCAGATTCCTTTATTGTGTTGGTGTCTCTCTCACAGACACACTAATAAACATATATTGCAATACATGTACTCTACTGTAAGTTCAATACGTTTTATTTGTCTATCTTCTCTTCTTCTAAAACGTCTTTCACTTGGTCCACAGTCAGGTCATGGATTACAGGGTTATTGTTCTCTTATTGGGCAATTATTTCACTAAGATGATATAGTCAGTATCACAGCTTTTATAGCCTTTTACACAATTCTGATTGCTTGTTGTTAGACTTACACTATACAAGAAAAAGTACATTTAAAGACTATCTTAGGGGCAGCGCTGAGGATAAAAGAGGAAGCAATCTTTTATTTTAGCTCTATATGTTGCCATTAATAGTCCATCAGTGTTTTAGGCTACGTAACTATAGATCAAGTTTAGTTTCGCTTGTTTCGTCGTGTTAGTTCAACCGAAAAACATATATTTCTCTTGGAGTTACCCTCTCTGTAACGCTGTTTAAATGCAACTTGATTAGACAAGTCTGCCGTGCATTGCCTGATTCATTCAATTGAATTGATCAATCTAAAGATATTGCACACTGCATAGCTGCAGCTTTGTTGGATTACTTGAATTCAGGAAATATAACAAACATCGTGAACACTTTTAATTATGTTGTTGATAATTCCCAGAGGAATACAAATCAGTTCAAAAGCCAAAGATATTAATTTAAAGAAAAGTTCCAAACAACAATGTTAGCTGTAATGTAAAGAATGTGAGATTTGCACTAAATGTGCTAAAAGTCAATGATGTGTCACTTTAAGATTCCTTAAACGGGATATAGATGAGGCTCCGCCAACTTTCCGTTGAAAACAAAGAGTTGGTGCCAAGCTGAAAATATAGTTTATCGTGCCTAAAAGCTGCTGTGTCGTGTATTGCACATTAAACAACAGAAATGATCCAGAATTTAGATTTTTTTATACTTTCACTTCACAAAAAAGACAGTATATCTCAGCTAGTAATGATGCTAACGATGCCCACGTCAAAGTAAAACGTCAACTTAAAACTCAATGTACTGCAGTGACGCTGCATTAAAATATGAATGACTGACAAGCCAAGGACATCTCAATGTAATTGTTAGCAACTTGTCCATCATTAGATTGAAAGGAAATCTATCCCTTATATATATTTTAACGTAACCGTTTAATTGTTTTGCCTGACTCACCATCTGTTTAGTAGATTTAAAAATGCACAGTATTCTTAATATTAGGATATGATTGTTGTAAAACCTCAGAATCTGCATTTACCGCCAGTAATATCAACAATGGAACACAAAAAGGGGCGGAGCCATTATGTAGAGGGAGAGTACTTGAGCCAATCAGAGGGGTCGACCCAAAAAAAGAAGTCCTACTTGAATAAAAAAAGCCACTTTAACTTTTGATGAATTAGCGCGGTGGAGGTCGCTCCATCCCAAAAAACTAGATGGTGTTTAGTAAATAATGTAGTCGTTCATGTGTTCATTAGCCTTAGTTTCATGGCAGCCTTTAAAGAGTGACTTGAAAGTGTGTGTTTTAAACTTCATGATTAGGAAAAAGGCCAGTTTTTCTTGTAATCCACGAGTAGCTGCCAATATCAGAAAGCTTTGAGAATATTATCGTGCAAACTAGAAGCTTAAATGATATATATTTGATGATATGATCTCCTCCGCAGTATGCCATCAGTGAAAACACTTCTGTTTCCTTTCAGTATTTTTCCTAAATCTCGCTCTACTTTCTGCAGGGTAATCGTCTTCTGGTGATGACCACGTAAGAGTATGAATTACAGAGCTTTGTTCACGTTACGTATTTAAAGAGACAATGTTGAAGATAGTGTTTTTTAGTGTTTATGTGTTCTGGTACTTTGTCCTTATCTACCCTGTAGATGCCGATGGATCAGATCCTCAGTGCTGTTTCTGTGTTCGTGGCATTTTGTTTTATCCTCTATCTCTCAAATATCTATTGAATGTGTTGGTTGGGCAGTTCTGTTTTTGTTCTTGCTTTTAAGACATTAAAAAAAAAGAAAAAAGTTCAGATTTAAACATGAGTTTCACTTTTTCAGATATGTAGCATTTTGAATATTGTAAAGAGGGTGAAGTTGCTTTATACATAATTACATAGTTGCTTATATAAAAAGCAATGTTGCTTCATATACCATGTATGTGTCATGTCTAGGACCTGTATTACATATCTTGGATCCAGTAACACTATATTTTGATGTTCTCTGTTGTATGTTGTGCTGACATTTTCTTTAAAGTTGGTTTTAATCTGTAAAATGTGCCTTATGGTTGTCTCAAAACATGCCCTTCGAGCACCCAGTTTGTTCCCTTAACGTCTTCCTATTCCAATATCAAATAAAATCTTAACTTGACATTGTATCTAGCAATGATATGAAGTATAAAGACAGAAACAGCTTTGCTTTTGTTGGCCTTTTGCACAATGGGGATACAATGTCATCATTGGGATGATATCACGATAACCCCCTTAACTTTCGAAGACAATCGCTCCTTTATTCTAGTCTGAGAACATCCAATAATAGCCATGTTTAGATGCAAGGAGAACCCGTTGTAGATCCGCTGGTGATGACCAGTCAAAATGAGTGAGAGGTTTCAGAGGGAATGGATTCCCCAGCTCATCGAAAGACCTGACAGTCTGTTTGGTGACGAAGCTGATAGAGGGTTTTTCAGATTAGTTGAAAAAGAAAAGATTTGACTGTAGTTTAAAAAGTTCTCCTGCGAGAGTCAAAGGTCCAAAAAGTGCCCTGCATGAGTGCTTTAAAAATGCACATGTGCACCAAAGCTTAAAAAACTCATAACTTTACAATCAGTGTCTTTATTGGGATGTATAAAGAGACCTGGATTCAGCGTTTGAGGCCTCCATTCAATTTTAGAGCATTTTACAACTTTTAGACCCTTCAAATAAGGGTTACAAAAGAGTTCGTACTGGGTTGTGGATTTGGCTAGGGGAAAAAAAGTATCTGCTGATTTACAGACGTCCTTTTCCCAATGTAAGTCAATGGGGGAATGTTTGTTTTTTTTACCCAATGACATCATGGACTTTGACCTACGTGTAGTACCGCTGTTTGGCCACTACGAAAATGTGCGTATACGTCAAGCGCACTTTGTGGGTGCTTGCTTCATTCATGTTTTTGGCCATAAACATATTATTTGGCCCTTTTTCAATTGCTGAATTCATTAGAGCAGGATAATCTGGAGACTTAAAATCCTATCATAACTTCTGAAAAAATTGTGTAGACGCCAGCTCAGGCACATGGTGTTTATTTGGATTGCAGATTAATATTTCTTCGGGCAGTGGGTGTGGACACAGTTTGGACAGTTATAGGAGATCTGATAAAGATTGATGTTGAGTGAAATGTAGAAAGAGAGATCCTGCTCAGCCTGCCCACTGACGCATATCTCTCAGCTCCTCCACTCGACATTCAACTCATCAGTTTCCACCCTCACTCCCCTTTTACCTCCTGATGTATCAGCAAATTACTTTATATACGAGCACGTTTTTATTATTGCTCAAATTGAAAGTTCGTCCCAAGACCAAACACTGGCCAAATTACTTTTTGTAGGATTATGTAAAGGAAGTCTATGTCTGATCAGACGTTGATTTTCCAGAAAAGCCTCCTACAGCTTGTCCCAAAGCAAGTCCTTAGTATTATAATTGCAGATTTAATGTAAGATATTAAAAATGTCCTAATCTGTCCCAGCACCATATTCTTTATTTGAGAGAAAAGAGATTTTAAGGCGATGTAAAATGAAATAAAGGCACCTCAGATTGACTTTTTAGCAACTGATGAGATTTTAACTAAATTGGTTTAAGGTATGTGGAAATAGTTGGCTAGATGGAAGTTTAAAAATATAAAATCTAGGCAGAGAGGAAGTCCCGCCCCCATTTGAAGCTAGCATCTGCTCCACTAGATCTAAAGTGTTGTCTAAATGAACACACTTATTTATTTGGACCAAGATAATAACTACTTATATACAGTTGATATAGTCTTACATTTTCTTAGGAGATGTAGTTGTTTATCTTAACCCTGTTGTATCTTTGCTCAATTGAAAAAACATAAAACTTTTACTTTTCAATTGTCACATAATACATTCAAGTTTCTTAAAATATAGGCAGTTACCCATAGGGACAGGTGTTAGTTATTCATAACAACTGGATAAAGACAACTATGAGCAAAAAAGCTAATGCTAGTAGCACAGGCAATTCAAAAAATGGGCGTGGCTTCAGCTCAGAGAGGATGTTCCGCCCCCTTTTGAAACTAGTTTCTGCTCCAATAGAAGTAGCCTATATTTACCGGTATATATCAATGTTTCTTAAAATATAGATACATAACGATAGGAACAGGTGGTCAGAGAAACTGAATGAGCAATAAAGCTAATAGCACGAATGCTATTACAAAAATGGGCGAGGCTTCAGCTCAGAGGGGAAGTCCCGCCCCCATTTATAGCTAGCTTCTTCTCCTCTAGATTATACGAGAAAATGTATATTTACCAGTATGTATTATTGTTTCTTAAAATCTAGATACATAACAATAGGAACCGGTGGTCAGAGAAACTGAATAAAGATATCTCTCTGAGCTAAAAAGCTAATGCTAGTAGCATAGACGCTAACCTGAAATGGGCGGGGCTTCAGCTCAGAGGGGAAGTCCCGCCCCCATTTATAGCTAGCTTCTTCTCCTCTAGATTCTACGACAAAATGCAAGTTTATATACCAGTGTGTATTTTCGTTTCTTAAAATATAGATACTTAACGATAGGAACATGTGTTCTGAGAAATGCTAGTAGCACAGATGCTAACCTAAAATGGGCGGAGCTTCATCTCTTTGTTTAAACACTAGAAAGCTTCTCACCAGTCGTAGTCCCAAACTCACTGTGCTGCTCGAAGGGTTTCCCAACAAAAACAAATACAGAATGTTTTCAGGAGGTAATACCCATAATTCATTGCACTTCCCCTTTACAAGAAGATATCAGCATTTTGTCTTTCGTGTGGCAACAGGGTTTTTGTTTTTCCTCTTGGGATCGATATTCTCGTATTCTGTTTTTATCTTCGTCATACAGTGCAGTTATATTAGCTGATTCGGCATTTTTTTACATGTTAAAAATGCATATTGACCTTATTATTATTATTATCATATACTGTTATCATTGTTATGGGGAGTGTAACCCCAGTAAGAAGTTTGTGTTTCTGCACTGATATCTTATTATTAAAGCATACTGATTTCATTTCAATATTGTTTTATGTTCTGATTGAAAGCTTCTTAACATATGTGGATAAAGAAAGTACAAATGCTAGATTTTCTAAGGAAAGGTTCTGGTATAACGTTTGCATCTAGGCTATTTACAGTAAAATGTCAATGCAACTTCAAGATGTTTAATGACTTGTTTGATATCCTTAAAAACCAAATTCCAATGCACAACTTTATCGCATTTTACAACTTTTAGACTCTGTTAAGCCTTTTTTTCACGGAACTGTGTCTCAGGTTTTCTTAACATTTAATAAACTATGAATGTGTCATACTCATTTAACGGGAAGAAACTCAGCTAACTGACGATACAAACCATTTTTACCGAAACAAAACACAAGTCTCACAAGAAGCGTCTAAATTAGCCCTGAGCGAAAACATGCTAATGTACTTAGCACAGAACTCTAGGCATAAATACTTTATTACTTATCGGATCTGCACAAACAAGATATTAGCTAACAAGCTGAGATTCCACAGATTGTAGAGGTATTAGTATCATCACTGAGCGATCAGAGCTCACGACATGGGAAGCAAAAACAGACATCACAACACAGAGCTTTATGGAGCAAAAACGGGAGAAATGTCTTCTGCTTCTGATCAAAAGTTGTCTTCAATGGCATTACAACGAGAAAAACACGGCTGAAGGTTCATCCATAGGTTAGTCCAATGTGTCTTTGTCACTTTTAAATGATTACTGATAATCCATCATTCAATTTTTATGTCAAAAACTGAGTTTTCATATTAGCGGCTATGATAGCTAGCAGAGTGTATGACAGTTTCCTGTTTTGGGTATTCTGGCTACGCATCACTCTCACTCCTTATTTGGTAACGTGTGTGTTTATGTGGAACTTCAAATGACCCCAGAAGTGTTTTTTTCTTTCTAAATCTCTCTAAAAAGGTTAAAGGTCACTTGTTTTGCATCAATCTTGATACAGGGTACTTATTATATGTTATAGTGTGGACTCCTAAAGCTTTTAGTCGACCATCCCATCATTCAAGGGTGGTTTTCACTATAAGTAATGTTGTTTTTTTTTGGACAGACACTCATTTACATATGTTTACCATGTTCAATCTGAATTTTCTTTAAAATAAAAAAATCCATATTGATTCTGACTTTTCTACATCCAACTCACAGGTTTATCATTGCTTTGAGAAAAAAAGAGTATTCATTTACCCCTTTTAGAAGTGAAGTCATTTGTTCTGGGAATGTCATTTTCGTGGCTGAGACCTGTAAAACAGGCTCGGGGCTTAACAGGTTAAATAAGGGTTACAAAAGAGTTCGTACTGGGTGATTGATTTGGCTAGAAAAGCATGATCTGCTGATTTACAGACGTCCCTTTTCCAATATAAGTCAATGGGGGAAAAGTATTTTTGGACTCAATGACATCATGGACTAGAACCTAAGTGTAGTACCGCCGTTTGGCCACTAATAAAATGTCCTTAAATCCAGCACTCTTTCTGGGAGCTTGCTTAACTCGTGTTTTTGGCCACACCCCTTTATAGTTACAAACATATTATTTGGCCCTTCTTAACCACATTGTTTGATATCCTTCCAAACCATATCCCAATGCTATGAATCGTGGGAATGTTGGGCATATTCTGGCAGAGGATGTGGTGGTTCATAGTTTACAGATCCTGGATTAGATCCCTGCTGCTTCTGTTTTTTGTTCTTCTTCCTTCCTCTGCAGGAACACAAACGTTATGGGCACACACTTTATGGCATACAGCACATTCAGACAGATGTGTAGATAAACAGCACACACACACACACACACACACACACACACACACACACACACACACACACACAACACACACACACACACACCACACACACACACACACACACACACACACACACACACACACACACACACACACACACACACACACACATCTTGCATATCTTTGTTTTTGTTCCAGCTGATTCAGAGCCTTTTGTTCCCTTCACGTTGGGAGTCATAAAAACAAGGTGGAGGTAAGACGGGAGGCACCGGCGGCTTCCTCTGGTTCTAGATGGTGGGGGAATCTGCAGAACAATGCACCAACATCTTCTGGAAGTCCCTGTGGTGTGCCACATATTTACAGCATGTCACACAGCATCACACACATTTCTTCTTAAGAGGCCACCTCATGCTCTTTATACTTCTGATTAAATTAACTGTGTTACACAAGACTGCATCTCTAAAAGATATCTGCAAAATAAGCAAAACTGTTGGGTCTGAATGGTCTTTATCCTATTGACTATTATCAGAGATGGGGTCGTTACTAAAAAAATGTAATATATTACATATTACATATTACTTAAAAAAAAGTAATATATTACACTACTTCGTTGTTACTTTACTCGCCGAGCAGGTACGAACTGCGCATGCGTGAGTGGCAATAACTCTCCTTACCAGCAGGCGGCGGTAGTGTGTATTTGTCATTCAAAACAGGCAACAACCGGAAGACAGAGAAGAAGAACAGACTACGTGATATAAACAAACAACAAATAGCTGTGCGGTAGCTTCACCTTAGCATGTGTTCTTTGCAGGTGCTTGTTGAGGTTTGACCACGTGGTGTTTACAGCTTCTGGCCTGGACACAGTTTGCACTAGTGATGGCAAAATGAAGCTTTGAATGAAGCATCGAACCACTTGGACAATTGTGTCGGAAATAGGTTAATTTCTCGAAGCTTCAGTTACAGCGACCTCTCCTGGCGAAGTGCAAGGCTGCAGTGGGTTTAACGTATACACACACACACTAAGACTGAATATCATGTTCTATTTGTAATTAAAGATTGATAATTGTGTGTATTGGGTTATTGAGAAGAGACTAGAGAGTGCTGGACATTTGTTTGGGAGGAGAGGGCCTTTTATCAGTCATTAAAGTATTAAAGTTTAAAAGCAATGATTAAAATACATCCATTCCGGGCTTTGAAGCAGCTGCGCGGAGGACACGCCGCATTCGGGCCGCCGGCTCGACCCACTGGGCTATCTATTCCTTGAAATATTGAACTATTTTTATATTACTGATGATTGTCTTTTTGTTCACAACTTCTCCACATTTCGAAGTGTTTCCCGAGTTAAAACGACCTATCTTTCTTCCTGGCTTGCTCTATAATGATATAAAATGCAATACCAACAACAACTCAACAGCAACAACGCAAACTACGACAACAACCCACACATTGCGCATTGTTTAGAGCGGTCATAAAGTGTTGAAGCGCTCAAATTTGAAACTGTTTCAACCTGTCACCTGTCAGAATCGAGACGAGGCAGTGCATTGAATCGCGTGAATGGACCGCGAACCAGTCAAGTGATTCATTCAGGAAATGAAGCAGTTGCTGCTTCGGACGTCATATGTCACGTGATTTGAAGCAAGCTTCGAAGCATTGCTTCTATGGAATAGGAAGTCCAGGCCAGGATTGAAGCTCCGTTCGAAGCTTCAGTGTCAAACTGCCATCACTAGTTTGCAAATCACCGTCACATTCCTGTCTATTCTTCGGACGAACTCAAAGTAATGGGCAGACCTCCACCCCTCGAAAGTTATCGCTGACTCAGCCATGTTTATGCAGCACTGCACGCGGAGATGTGGACGCGCAAATCGCGCAGATTATGTACATATAAACCTGCGGCGGAAACCCCTCTTGTCTGTCAGTGTGATTATGAATGATTTTAGTGTCGGGGTAATGTTAGTAACTGTAGTGTGATTACTGTATTATAAAAGTAGCGTGTTACACTACTCCGTTACCGACAAAAGTAATATTATTACAGTAACGCGTTACTTTGTAACGCGTAACACCGGTTACACCCAACTCTGACTATTATAATAATTAACTGAATGAACAATTATCTACGGAGCCCCCCTGGTGACATTGGTGAGAAAAATATTAATACGTGGCCACGAGTTAATGCGTGGCCACGAATTAGTTATTATGTTCCCACGCATTAGTAATGGGGAACACAATAATTATTACGCAATAACTAAATCCAGATAGTCTATAGAAACTGATGACTGAGTGACAACAAGTCGAGTAAAGTTGGAGCGATATTAGCAGATTCAGATTTCACGAAACGTGTGCTCAGGGCCCGTCTGCAAAGTGCAAAGTGTAAAATCTTCAATAAATATGGCATCATCTTCAATAACGTTAACGTTATAAATATTCACCAAAATTATTCCAAACCATATTCTTCCAAACTCTCTGATGTAGTATGAGCAACAGAAGACTATTGATGTGTGTAATGAGTTTGGTAGTAATATACTGTAGAATATTGAAGTGATTGAATATTATTAATTTTATATTCTCTTTTTTCGGAGTTGCACTTTGCAGACGGTCCCTGAGCACTCGTTTCTTCTCCAGCTGCAGATAGAGACATTACATTACATTACATTGCATTTAGCTGACGCTTTTGTCCAAAGCGACTTACAATAAGTACATTCGACCAGGAAGACACAACCTTGAAGAAAACAGAATCATATAAATACATCAGGTTTCATAGAGCCAAACATTTCAAGTGCTACTCAACTGGCTTTAGGTAATCCAGTCCTTTATTAGTATAATAGTGCTTCGTCCAGACCAATGTAATGTGTCCAGCTCGGAGCGAGGACGGCGCATATTGGCTTTTTTTTTTATCAACATGTGATTGTAGTTCGTTGTCAACCTTACCACGGTACTTAGGAGACGTCATTTGTGTCTGAATAACGTTTTGTTCATGAGTTATTGATCCGTGAAATCCGAATCTGCCAATATCGTTCTAACTTTACTCAACTACGTTTCAAACCGTGCATTTTCAGCAGCCGAATCAAGTGCCTTTTGCTAAGGATGACACTGTGCTTAACTGCAAGGGATTGCAGAATATCATTATAATTCATACCCAAATGAAAATGAAATCAAGTCAAAATGATCCATGCTTCGCGATAATAGCCGTAGCCTAGAGTTTAGCTAGTGTTGTCACCTGTACAGTCTATGGTTGTCACTCAATCATCAGTTTCTATAGACTAT